AACTCGTATAAAAAACGAAAAGTTCGATAAGTGCGAAATGTTCGTTTATTATATTGACGACTGTAAGAATGCAGAGAGAGTTAATAGTCTCAATTCTACACCCCAATGGGCCTTCCAATTTATTAGTCACTGGGCGAACTAAATCAAGAAAAACAAATATGATTATAGAACACGCTATATAAAAAATGACGATCTGCTTTTGATTGGACACCATCTTAAGGAACCCAAATATAGACATTTGAGAGATTGTTACCAAATCATTGCGAATAGTCCAAAGCCATATCGCGAAAATGTTACGTTCCGATCCAGTACATGCTGATTTCCAATGACTCTCAATAGTTTTAATGTTTTTCCCAGTGTACACTAATTCGTTGCAAGATAAACATATGGCAATTCCTATCGTAGGAGCGTGTGAACTACGGTCTGGAAATTGTATCAATGTTCTACCTTCAAGAAACCTTTTGCTATTAATATTCATTCCTGAAATACATTAGGCGTTCCCAGATACGTTCTTTCCACTCACTGGGAGTTTCTCCAATCAGTACTTGTGGCATCCTGCAATATTCATGCCATTCTTCAGGAGTGTAGCGTCCATAAATAAATTCATTTAAACAACTTGGTCAATTATTATAAAGAATGATGTATCTAAATGCTGGTTATTAGACTTGCATGTAACAGGATTCAATTTTTGTTTTCAGAAGCAGAGCTTCCTCGCATCGCGAGATCTATATGCTAGTTAATTAAACAATATCAAGAAAAACAAAATGGCGTTCTTAGTGCTTGTATTATTGTTCGCAATGCCCCACCATACTAGTACACGATACAAGTGAAAGCGAAAATGACGAGAGCCGAAGCATTCCTCGAATAAAGCCTTGTACATTATCCAGCAAAAAACACTCCAAACGGCGAACTTACAAAAACCCCCTTGAAGAAATTACTAAATAAGTGTTAGCTATAAAGAAAACAGCGCGCACACGTCTAATAATTAATACTATGGATTGAAACATAAAAGACACTATGTCCACCAGCAGTCTTTGGGAAGAAATCTGCAAAGATTTACCCGTATTAAAGACAGATAACACTTTGCCCTTCTTGGTGTCGAGAATGAAAAGACGAATGGCATAAAGGCATAATGGGTAGACCATGTAAGTGAACTACAATGGAACGTCTGGGGACCGATTTGGGCGGAGTAAAGTAAATGCGTTTGTCATTGATAGTGACAGAGCTTAAAGAGAGATATTTTTCGTAAGTAGTAGCATCTTTGAAAGTGAGCTGGAGAAAGCGATCAGCCGGGGAAAAGGCAACGCCAAGGAGATTATTACGAAAATAAGATTTGATAGCATTATCAGATATGTTGTTTGCTTTACGATCAATGAAGAGACTGTTAAGAGAAGACGTGTCAGGGGGGACGCGACCTACAAAAGGTTTGTTGGAAAGTGGTGTTTTTCCAAGAGAATATGGTAAACGAGCCGTCGGGATTGACTAACGGAATGCTCGTGGGAATAACTTTAATAAATGAAGTAGACGGAAGAGGGGGTTGCTGAAGAGCAGCAGTAGGATAGGGAAGAGGAAACAGCACTAGAAGAAGTTGTATTGGTTGAAAACATGTTTATTGACTCTTTAAACGGGGCAGTAGAAAGGAAAAAAGTCGAGTCGAAATAAAGGGTTATATAATTTCGTGCACCCCCATGATTAATGATGTAATGCATTTTAGCAGGTGTGAGTAGATAATAAATGACTTTAACACTTTTAATTCGACTGCCTATCATCAGTCAAATTAACAACAGACATACTTAATGAAGTACAAAAAATCAGGGTAGTCAAATTACTGGGTAAGTTGAATTATAGGGAGTCAAATTTTCAGTATAATAAATCATGTAATCAATGGTAATAGTAACATTAGTTAAACGAACGGCCAGTTTTATTGTCTAGTTATGGTGTTATTCAAAACACACTGCCTAATCTAGCTAAATTTTTTAGGCTTGTAATGCCATGCTCTCCACAATTACCACACTGGTTTTGATGCTTGACTGGTCTCAACTCTTCTGCTCGCTTGATTCGCTTAGAACTTTTCGAGCAGACCTTTAATTCTGCGTTTTCTTGGGTTCTGAAGGAATTGATCAGTTGATGGGTCATTTCTCTGTCATTTTTTCTCCATCGCTCACGTAACTTATCATCGATATTAGTGGTGCTGTTTTCATCAGCCTGATTATCTATTTGTTCGCTTTGTTGCATTTCAGTTAACAGATCCTGCAGTTTCTTAAGAATATCTCGCGCAATTCTCCACAGTTCTCCATATAGTTTTCGCTCATTGATATCTTCCCTTCTTTCCTCTTGGAGGTCTGCTGGCGATACAAACCAATCAATTATATTACGTCTAATCTCTTCGCGACATACAGTGTGTTGCAAAAAAAATAAAATAATGAAAAACTTCGCTGTTATGCACTTAACGAATGAACAAAATTTTATGAATAAAGACTTATTTGCAAGCTAGAAAGCAACAGATTTTATTGATATATATATTTAATATGGTATATGCTCTCCATTATCAGCAATAATCAACAATAATCAACTCGCAACGTTTTTTCATTGATTCTACAAGATAAACTAGAACAGTATTTGGAAATATTCTCTCACTCTTCCACCATAAATGACTCTAATCACTAATGTTTTTTGGCATGCGCTTTTGCAATCTGGTTTTTACAATGTGCCAGAGGTTCTCAATTGGGTTCAAATTCCTTGCAATCGCGTACACCCTCGTCTCATAAATGTAATATCACTTGCCGCTGTTGTTCTTGCTTCGAAACTAGAATTTCAAGTGTGCCTGCCCGGCTTCGTCGGGCGGGCTTGTTAACACAAATATTGGCAATAACCTGACAAGTTGGTTTCTAAATATAGTATATCAGTGTATAAGTTCAGGTGTAGTACGTTCAGATACTAAAGGCAGCAGTTAGCTTGTGTGGCGATCAATTGTACATAACATCTATCCGTAATTAATTTCCATTATCGGCAGCTGCGTCACGTGTACCCAGAGACGTCAACTGTTTGGTGTTCTAATTCTAGTTGCGTAATAATTTTAAACTGACTAAATTATTCTCTCCTACATTTGTACATGTTTGTAATTATTTCAAAAAACTTATAATACTCCTCTTATAAAATGCTAAAAAACAATTGCCTGAAGGCTCTTAACAAATCTGTAATACTGTTATATGGACGAAATTTAGGCGAGACAATAACTCGACTTGCTCTTGCTATGTGTACTGAGGTGCAGCACTGTTATGAAGCAACATCTAACTGCGGGTAGTTCTATTATAATTGAAAGTTTAACCTGCTGTCAAACTGTACGCAATGTTAATGCTTTATATTTACAAAATTTTATAATTTTTGCATTAATTTACTAACACATGCCACATCTTGTCGCTTTCACAAATATGTGGAATCAGTATTGTTCACGTCAATTTAAAGTGGTTTCGATGAAAGAACTTTGAAGAAAGATATCTTAACAACTATCATTAAACCAAAGCAAACTTGGTTTAGTTCGAAGACCAGAACTTGAGTTTTTATTTGATTAGTTTTACGTTAATATAGCTTATCTGCACGACAAATTTATTAAACGCTCCACGCTCACAAATGTTTAAAATTTTTTCTAGCGACATCCGATCGAGCTGAAGTTACGGATACTTAAGCTTTATTATGTCAGATAATTTTCTCATTTGTTGAGCTCGTCGAATACGTATGACCGCTACCGTATCAAGATTACTTGATACATTATTATACTGATCAGACTTGTAACAAACGTTTTCTCTTACTCGGATTATTTGGTTCTATTATTAGCGTGACTTGTCAAGATCTTTCGACGCAAAAGCAACGTGAAGCAATTTCTGTTACCACATGTGCCTACATAATCATTAATGACCACTGAGCGCTCATTTTAATTTGGAAACTCGCATACTAATACAGACTGATCTGCAATACATCAAACCACATGTGAAAAGCCTTTGTGAGAAAATTATCCGAAACACTCGTTTTTATGAGATATCCAAATTGTGAAGATTATCAAGGGGATAAAAATAATAATAATAACAGCTAATACTAATGCTATTATAAATCTAACAATTTATTAATGTTCTGTATACTCTGGTGTTGCTTTTATTTTATCACGTAAAATGTGTATTGTGCATCATCCAAGTGTAATTTATTTGTGCATGGGATTATTATTATAGTAATGTGACAAGCTCCGAAACGGGCCGTAACTTTTAGCGTGTTTTTTATGCAATAACAGTCGCACACAGATGCTCAAGTCACACGAAATTTTTTTGCGATAATCGGGATATTATCCTGCATGTTACACTTGCTACCTATGTATAATGCTTTCTTTTTAGGGTAATAATCTATGAATAGAAATTTTCGGTGTAACATGGGTAATCGTGTCATACGATAATCACACTTTTTTTTTAACGGGTATTAATTAGTATGATCAATTCTACTGACTTTTCTAGCGTACAGCATACGAGATGTCAAATCATGGTTAATTTATAACTAACACACATTATCCAATTTGAATCAGTGTACTGTATAAAAGTAACGGAAAAGCTATAATAGTGCATACCCGGTTTTTAAGATTTAGCGCGGCTAAGCAATGCTTGCTGATATTCAGATAGAAAAAGCGCAAAGTTTTTGATATGGGCTTATCGCTTACCTAAACAATAGATTTTGGGGCAATCATAAATCTGTAATATTTCTTTCTCAATTCCATCTGACAAAATGTGTGAGTGCTAGAAGAGGCTTTTTAATTGTCAAATTTGGTATAGCAATTTTTTAAAAGCTTGCGCCACACACGTAAACACGACAACAACATTAGCAACAAAACTATTTCACAAATTTTGGGGCTCGAATGCGAGCGCATATGGACTGCAGCCGATGTTGTTCAACACGCTACTGATGTATGTTTTACTATATATTGACGCCAATTTGCGCACCACGTTTCCTTACATTTTATGATGGAAAAAACATCACCACCTGATTACGATAGTTTTGCAATATTCCCAGCTCTTAACATTGCACGTCTGGGTAACGCCAAAGGATATTATGTTGGTTCCGAAATTCCTGGAGTGTATGTTGGAAGTAAGTTTTGACAAACCGTTAGTAATTACTTGTCTGCATCAAAAAATGTACCCGTGCGTTTAATAATGATTAATATTATTTTCATATTTACTGTCTTATAATATTATAGAGGGCAATCCTGATTTCCAATTTAAAATGAATGGTAAAATTATACCACAAGCCGCAAGGTTTAGAATCTATGGTTATAAAAACGACGAGAACTTGGGCGAGATAGACCTTAGCAAATATAAAGGTGTGACAATCAAATGGACTGTTGTACTGGCCAATAAGAAAGCAGCAAACAAAGCTTTTGAAGGCATGGCGCAGTATAATGCAAAAGGCCCTCTTCGAAATGCCGGTACGTAATTCTTGTACAGATTTTACAGTAGCAATGAATTTGCTATTAAAAAAATGTGCAAACTATCTTGTAGATTGGCCTCACGATAGATCGACGTTGATGGCTATTCAACAGCAAAGCCTAACGTTTGATGGACATGGCCAACCACCATCGCCTAAAAAATTTAAGCCGCGAGTTTATCGTGAAAATATCGAAGATAAAGATGTTAACGACGGACATCAGTTAAAATTGGGCAAAATGATAGTAGAAAAACAAGGAAGTTTGTTAATTATCGGTGGAAAGGGAGAGTCTGGGAGTATTAAAGAAAGTTGGTATTAGTATATTTTTGTAACTTTGTAAATATATTAATATGCTCAAATTAATTAATAACCCATGTTGTCATATTTTTGTAGATGCTATAATTACCGATTACGCAAACAATGATTATTGGTACGATGACACTTGTGATGGTTCCATAGAGGCTACAGTTACAATCGCACATGATGAAAATTGTGAACCAAAGGTGCTCCAAAATAGAGGCAGGTTCCAAAACTACGCATTCAAGTGTATAGCTATCTGTTATAATAATAATGCTATTTTGATAATTAACCCGTGTACAATTTGTATTTAGAGGGAAAGTCATGGGTCCTTGTGGCACCTCCAAAGTATGCACCAGGTATTCGCAACGTTGTACCACTGTATCAAATTATCTTGGAAACGCAACACCCAGTTGATCCGGATTATCCAGCAAATGATCCTGTAAATTATCTAAACAGTGATACGAGGGAAAAAAGGAAAGAAAATGTTCGTGTATTATTTGATCTGCGTTGCGGTATTATTGCTCGTGTAAACAGATAATTAACCATAATTATGCTATTCTGTACAGATGAAAGTGAATTACTACCGTGATATTTATCCAATCTTTGAAGCTGTCTGTAGAAACTCTTGGGTTAATGAGATGGGTTTTAGGGGTCATGGGACGGATAAGCCTGGTAACTTTTTAAATCCCAACTTGGAAATGAAGTTGAGCACTCCTCCAAGTGGTCAAGTTGATGATTACAAGCATATGAGGTTTGTTCGTTTATTATTTTTTTTTACCTTATTTTATTTTACCTTATTTTATTTTATTTTACCTTATTTTATTTTATTTTATTTTATTTTATTTTATTTTATTTTACCTTATTTTATTTTATTTTATTTTATTTTATTTTATTTTATTTTATTTTATTTTATTTTATTTTATTTTATTTTATTTTATATTGTTTTGTTTATTTAATCAAATCTAATTTAATTTTGTTTTGTCTTGTTTATTTAATTTAAATTTTTATTTCCTCTCCCCTTAATATTTCGTTGTGTTGATGAACAGAGAAAGCGTTTTATCTCGTGTCCGTATACCTTCCGAACTCGCAAGCTCGTTTGAATCCAATGGACAAGCTTATGATTACTTCATGCCGCCTCTGTCTGGTATTGCTGGAGATGTACAAGCGAGTAACCCAGACACCTATTTAACTGTTACTCGGGGTCAATATTTGTAAGTAGTACACCAGTCGTTCTACAATATTTAACTTAAATTAATATAAAATTTTTTATTAAGACTACTGCAAAAGTGGGCCAGGGGAGAATTTGAAAAAGGAGTTAAACCACAAGATTACAAATACAATTACGAGTGCGATCCTGATCGACGAGAACCCACGTATGGTGACGATAAGATTGATTTTCAGGATATGGTTGCTAAAATCCTCGGCGATGCGAGTGATCAGGATAAGCTGGTTGCGCAAGTTCAGTTTTTAAACAAAGCCCCGCTCGAATGGTCTGTTGGAGGCGCATTCTTTCCTGGAATTGAAATGACTTATTTGGCGTATGACAGGAATACATTTCATGAGTATTATGACTTTAGGTGAGCATAATTTACAAGCATCACGCACGTGTTTACTTATTTTTAATACATCATTGACATCCTTTTTCAATAAAGGATTAATTCCACCAATTTTCAACCTGGAGATATCAATAAATACATGGCTTTACCCTGGCAAGGCGATTTTTTCGAGTGCTCTAAAAATTGGTGGCCAGCTCAAAGGCCTGATATTGTAATTCCAAAAGAAGTATATGTAAGTAAAATCAACGTGATTTATTTTATTCGTAAAAATGAATTAATTGTTACTGATCATAGGAGAAAACAAGTGAAAAAAGAAAAATTCAGTCAGGCGACTTTGTGAAATGGACCCGCGGCTTTAGAGACAATGAACAAAGTGACAACCAACCAAAATGGGGTGATTTGGACATGGTGAGAGTATGGTATAGGTATGTTAACGGTATATTTTTTTATCATACCTATGTATGATGCGATACTTTGATCTAAAATTATGAACTGTGTACAGATTGGGATTTGTTGTCGAGAAGGAAAACATCCTTGGTAACGATAAAGCATTCGTTGAGATTGAACACGCACAAATTTATGGAGTCGATATTCAACAAGCGGATTATAAAACCCTAGACGATGTGAGAATCGTAATGCAATACTAATACTAGTTATATTGTTCACTTTATGCACACTAAACTTTTGAATTATTTTTTACTTAATCAACAGCTTTACGGTTTACTTAAAATTGCACTACAAGTTGAACTTAGTACTATTCCGCCGTATCTTTATGCTTTGTATTCCATAAAACAAAACAAGACTGTAGGTGACTTGGTTAGCTATAAAATTCGCCATGTGGCTGCGGAGGAAATGTTGCACTCATCACTTGTAGCGAATCTTATGGTTGCTATTGGTATGTTTTCTTGTTTCGGAATACGCGTTTGAATTAATGTCCTGATTTATAACAAAAATTTCTCCCAAATCCTGGGTAAATTAAAATTGGCAGGACGCGAGCCCATATTCTATTCCCAGGAAATGATGCCTTTCTATCCAAATCCTCTTCCCCATTTCGCCGATGGTAAAGATACTTTAATATTATTGATGTAGCCCAGTCTATCTCGTTTACTATTGTTCTCGAAATTTTAAGTCAAATAATTACATTGGCCAAATTTAGGTTCTTTACTGGTGAACTTGTCAAAAGCAGATGTAAATACCATCGAAACTTTTATAGAAATTGAGCGACCGGAACCAAAACCAAAACAACAAGAGCAACTTCGCAGAGCGTTAAAATCGATTAAGCTTTCGGAATCGGTATCAATTGAATACTTATTATCTGAAAAATTGAGATTCGATATTATTTGTAGTCTACTATTAACGTATTGAGCTGTGGTCTGTTTTAGGTCCAAGATATAAACTTTGAAAGTATTGCGACACTTTATGAAAAAATTCTAGAATTGTTCCAAAAACTCGATGGTAAAATCGAATATCAAACCAACTTTCAGGTAATACATAATTAGAACGTTTAATTTTTGGGTAGTTTTTTGAATTACGGCAGGATATCTTCCATCTGTGTTATAGGTAAACTATTAATGATTCGCAAATTTTGTTATAAACGTAGCTTGGACCTGGTATGGGTTATGCTCCGAGTACGGGTGCAGATAACGAAAGGGGTTTGATTGTTATTAAAGATTTAAAAAGCGCTACGGATGCTATTAATTTGATTATTGAACAGGTTAGACGTCAGCCTGATTAATTATTTGATTCGACTATCAGCCAACAATTGCACGTCTCTTATTTAAGAAATGACAATCCTTTCGTTGTCTTTGGAATTGCACAGGGCGAAGGAGGGATATTACCGCCACCTCTACCTTTGAATAATCTAATCTTCACCGGGACTTTCACCGGTGAAACTAAAGCTGCGATTAATAGCGGTCAATTTGATATCAATATCAAAGGGAAAATTCAAGGAACTATCAATGACGAAAATAAAACCATCGTTGGAAAAATCGAAAATGGAACAATCGAAGGAAACATTGAAGACAATCTCACTGTTGTAGGAAAAATTGTAGGAATTTTTAGAGGAAGCAAAAACGATAAAGTTGTTGAACAAATAATCGAAGGAAATTTTGTTAGCAACAATATCATTGGGAAAAAGAAAGCTGATACTACTGATGATATCTTTATTGCAACCAATGTCCAAACAAGCTTACACGGAAAAATCAATAACGCAATACTCGAAGAAGATTCCCACTATAATACGTTCAGAATGTGTAAGATGTTCATCGAAAACGCATCCGCGCCAGAATATCAGCTCTGGCCTGTCGTAGACAATCCAAACGTATCGTAAGTAAAAGATTACATGATTACAAGTTGTTTTTCTTCTTGCACTATTCACCCCCTTTGGCATATCCCTCACCACACCGTGCTATATAGATCGTACAACGATCCAAAAATTATTAGTACCGCTACTGCGTTCAATGCTGCCTATTCCTACCTTATGCTTTTATTGCAAAGCGCTTGGACAGTCGACGGTCACAAGAAAAGGACGTTCATAATTGGAGGGATGCCGGCATTAATGCATGGCATTTTGAGGCCCATAGCGATATTTCTTGCTCGTATGTATTTATCCTGAATCTTTGGTTCTCACGCACAAGAATTATTTCTTACACACTTTTATTATGACTACAAGAAAACCCCATTTCTACTGATACAAATGCGGGAGCTACCTTTGGCTTTTATCGATTCACTCGTGAGTCTAGTCCGAAAGAGCAACTAGACGCAGCTATTCAAGAAGCTTCTAAGGCCTTCCCAACTAGCAAAGAATTGCAGAGTGCGGCAAACGTAGTCAAGACATTACCGGATATTTCCTTGCCAATCTTTTGATGACTTTGAAGTTATTAACAGCCGCGATTGCGGTTATTTATTATTATAGAGTCTGGGCTCGAATTCTATAAATAAAGAAACTAAATTATTTAAATATTTAAACTTAATCAATAATACGCGAAATATCATTTAATGATGATTTTATAATAATTTCGTATAAAATAGATGGAATAAATTCGTATTATCGAAAACTTGAATTTTAAAAAAATTGTCCATCCATTTTTATTATTGGCCATAAATCATACTTACCTTCAAATTAACCTAAACAACCGTTATAATAATCCAAATTCTTATAAATACTCGATCATTTACTCGAGGTGAAAAAAGTATCGATATTGATAAAAATATTCGCGAATTCCGCATTCGTGTTGTTTGTCAAACGTTCACGAGTATTTGTATCACCATATCTCAATGGAAGAATCTCGACCACACAACGAACGTTCAGCAACATTTGATGTTATCATTATAGGCGGTGGTATCGCAGGATCATGCACAGCAATAAGGCTGGCCCAATTGTTCTCCTCGGCAGCTGCAACCTTGCGGAGGATTTTAGTCGTTGACGAGAAAACGACGAGTGCGGGCATATTCAAAGTTGGAGAATCCTTACCCGGAGAATCAAAGCATATACTCAAGACACTAGGCGTATTTGAAGCGGTGAACAATGATGCAAAGCAAGGTATCGATATTCGAACGATAACCTGTGTAATAATTCACACATTTTAACCGTTTACCATCGGTTCATAGGGAAACATAATTTCTGTTACGGAAATTCTTCTGCGTGGGGTTCCGATGAATTGCACGATACGAGCACGATATTCAATGCCTATGGTGATGGATTTCATTTGAACAGGTCCCTGTTTGATGAAACGTTGATTAAAACTGCCGAGTCACAGCATGATCCATTCATTACGATTATACGCGATTCCGTGACCAAGTCACTTCTTGTAGAAAATGATGACGGGGAGAAATATTGGAAGGTTTCGATTTCGAGTAATGGTAGGTTGGCTACATACATCTGCGATGGGTGGCGTCCGCCAAGTTAAAAAATCTGAATATTTTTCGTTTCGTTATCAGAATTACCGATCCACGGAAACGTTCTCGTCGATGCAAGTGGCCGTCGCTGTTTCATCCGAAAATGTTTTCCAGACTTGGAACGCACCGCCTTTGATAAATTGCTGGCTTTTGCATGTTTATTCGAAACCGATAATTCTCAACTGCCCGATTCAGACCATCATACCCTTGTGGAATCCTGCGCTTTTGGATGGTGGTATACTAGTCTTTTACCCAACAAGCAACGAATTGTCGGTTTCCATACCGACGATGATCTAATAAAACTCATTAACAAGAAAAGAAAGATCAGGCAAGCTGAAGAGTTTTACGAATTTATGAGAGAAACTGCTCCGCATACTACCAAGCGTATAAATGAGCATTCATATTGTCCTGGGGGAAAAAGAGTCATGTGTATGCCTGCGAATTCAGAAAGCCTTTTTCGGTTTGGTATGTGTCTGATTGTTGTTACCATCGAGTTTAAGACATAAACATTTACGAGTTCAACTCCCAATCCAAACCAGCGTCTTACGAAAATAGATGGATAGCAATTGGCGATAGTGCTGTTTCTTTTGATCCGCTCTCATCCCAAGGGATGCTCACCGCACTGTACAGTGCGAAACTTGGTGCGGAAGCAATATTTTTTCAGTACTTTAACGGCAAAAAGACGAGAAACAAAGAAGTAACAGTCCAACCATTAGAAATCTTTCAGCAATACATTGAGAACACGTTTCATAAATATAAGAGCGAGAAAAGGTTTTTCTATAATAAGGAACAAAGATGGCGTGATGAAGTTTTTTGGAGAAGACGACATGAGGATCACATTGAGTGAATAGACAAAGCATAGACACCGCTTGATTATAGCTTAAATATACTTTCGAAAAAGTTATTCGGAGCTACGAACCCAAAATTCATTGAATGAGAGGCAGAAACAGTAGTGTAAAGAATTTATATTATATGTCGGACCATTTTTTTGCCCAAGAATAAATTTTATTAAACACGGAAAATTTGGGGTGTCCAGTATTGGATCTTGTGGGAAAATAGAAACATCAGGACTCGTCTATTTAAATCATTAATTTTACTGTACGGAAAACATGTAACAGTACAAGGCTAATTAGTTGAATAATCAGTCTGAAAGACTAAGAAATTAATTCTAATAAGCAGAAAGTTGACAGACGGTAGGTGTCGAGTCAAAAGTCACGAAAGAGCAGTTGACCTTCAACTCGTAAAGATTTAACTCTTTCGAACGGTGTGTGGCTCACCTAATCGTAGATAAATCTACAGCGCATAATTAGTGATCTTTACGCTGAGGCTTTAACTCGTACACACTAGTCCTAAATAATTATTATGTCGTCCACGAGGTATCGTCAATTCTTTATCGTCGATAATTATCGCGTGTCGAGGTACCATGTCTTAATAAAAGTAAACGCGTTTCTGTAACTATGTCTGGGGGAGGGTTCAAAAAGGTTTGACACAACATATTATTCCAACAATTTCTTATTACCTCCGGTTAGTAAAATGTCTTCATTAAAGCTCGAGTCACACTCAATTAATGATAAAACTTTGACCCATGTTGGTTTGATAATTGTCGAAATTTTTTTGAAAGTTGTCTATTAACAATGATGGAAATTTTACTCGAGATAGTCTATCCTGGGTGTGCTGGCAGAATGGTAAAAGGGCTGACAGCAATCACAGGGAGCTAATTACTGTTATATGGAATAAAACATTATTCAAACGTACTATTACTATTGGATTAAGCGTTCAGAGTCGGGGCAATCAAGCATCAAAGATATGCACATTTTATTTCGCTATTATTACATTAACAATGTGGGCTTATTGGTTGTGATATTAGATGATATGCCTATTGCGAAATGGGTTACGAAAAAAAAAGCTGTACAAGACACTATTGATATTCAGTTTTATTGGAAAATAAAAAATATTCAATGATAATACAATCTACATTCTGGTAACAAATCGTCTAACATTGGACTGTTTCTTATTATTGACATAATGAACATTCGATATAGTGAGTAAAGATTTTCATGATACAAAAACACACCCCATTACATGACATAAACGCACAAACATACTCATATGACAACCATAAAATTATGAACAGTACAACATGCAATATCGGGTGTGTCTTCGAATGGGACCGCTTTTCAACAACCAACTCGTCCTATGCCCAAAGATCGAACGAAGATTTTTGTATGGGATGGTTTGTGAGACAGACAAGTTTATTTTGCTTTAAGCAGATAATGGATGCCACGTTAGACACACTCTAGAGATAAATGGCATGCTAAACTAAAAGGGCAAATTACGGCTTCAACTAGATAATGCTTCGAAACACAATGTGTCTTGCCCAAGCTTTCCTTCGTGAGAATATGCCAAGTCATGGCTTGGCCATCTTACAGCCTTGTCTAAATCCGATTGAAAAATCTTTGGAGTGTTGTTAAGAGCAATGTGGAGCGGCGAATGCCAAAAAATTGGAGCGATTTATATTTATGGTAGGAATGGAAAATGACCCAGATTCTACTCTAATTAACTTAGTGAAGTCAATGAAAAACGGCGTCGTGAACTTGTAATTGAAAAGAGTGAGCACGTGTATCTCGAATATATCTTTACTTCAACTTACAATATTATAGAACAGCCATGCTAATCAGTAACGGATACTTGAACAGTATGCACGCTTCAACGCGCGAAAGGTTTTAAATTCATCATAATTAACATGCAGATTATGTATAACGAGATTTTACTATGAAAGTGAGTGGACGCATTACCAAGACCGACAAAACATCTTGCGCGTTGCGTGTTGAGCTTCCTGCAAGTTTTCTCTGTCAAATTAAAATGAGCAAAAAGATGCTTCAGCACATTTTGTGCATGGTGACTGTTCGGCCGTAGACATATCTTATATTGGCATAAAAATGCAATCTACACAAGTGTTATGATAGTCAAAATGTCATTAGTCACTGTAATTGATTTTTCAGCTATTTATATTGGTATCTTATTTTTATTCACATAAGATATTCACTTTGTCTGGTTTTGTTGCAGAATGCCCGTATTGAATATAAACATGTTGTTAAATGCAAATAAAAAATTAGTTCATGTGTTTTGTACCCAAGTCGCCATTCAAGCAAAGCCTACTATTTTTTGCAAATGTCCATATAGTAATAGTTAATATGATCCAGCAAAAGCTTGTTAAAGCTTTAAATGGGACTTTGTGAATACATCTACAGTTCCTTTGATAACCTCCACCCGTCAATAACCTATTACAGATGTATTGTTAATAAGCTCAGCAGCAATAAATCTCGAATAAAACTCATGACAAAATCATTTCAATAATTCCCATATACTGTACATAGTCAATTGTAATTGGCAGTATCAAACTCTAAAAGTTGTCTAGTTTATTACGAAATAAATGAGCCATCAAAGATATTTATTTGAAAAGAAGATGGGAATGGAGATTGTATATTCAATTGGAGAAAAAAAATCTAAACAAAAAAAATTTTTTACAGGAAGTAATACTTCAACGGACCCAATCGTCATAATTTATCTTTCGCTCTACGTTCAAATGTAATGCAAAAACCAACGAAATATTCACATGGTAACAATATTAGAAATCAAAAATTAAACTGTTCCCCAACCCAAACGTGCTCTAAACCTTCATTACAGTCTTTGTATGCATCATCGTTCTTTTTCTCTCTTATACTTATTCACCTAACATCAACGTAACAGATTCGTCAAAACCTGAATCCATCCTTACCCGCTTTCTCTTCTCATACCATTGATGTTTGCGCTCTTTTCCTTTGAGCAAGGTCAGTTCCTTTACTATCTCTTCTCGTTCTCTATCCAACTCTTGTAATGCTAAAGTAGCCTTTTCCAATCCGGCTGCATCTCCTTGATTTTCTTTTGTCTTTTTGAACTCTTGGGTTGCCTCTCTCTGCGCATCTTTTGCATTCAATTTTCTCTCTAATTCTGCAATCCTCGCATTTCGAGCCTCGCTCGTTTGCGTCGCATATGCATTACGCTTCGCTCGTAATGTTTCACGAGAAATCTTCCGACCCGGTTTGGGTGCGTTTGGGTTTAGTTTCGATCGTGATTGTCCTCGTTTATAAGTGTAGCCTTCGAGCAGAAGTTTAGCTTTCGCCTTTTCGAATAAATCGCCTTTATTTGCAACTAATGCTGGATCTGATAGGGCCAGTTCTATTGCTGCTTTGTTGATTGCCAACTCATATTGTGTAAGTTGACGATTGCTGCGTTTCCCATAGATTGTGGCATGTTGAATGATAATGTCACGAGTCGTAGAAGAGTTGTAGAGTGTTGCTGCCGCAAGGGATGGATGGATGGACGACTCTGCTGAAGTGGTACTAGACAGTGACGGTGAAGCTGAAGTTTGAGAGGACGGCGATGAGACTTGGGTTAGTACAGATGTGGATGTTGATGTGTTAGTTGCGCCTGGAGATAATTGTTCAAGTGACGGTGTCACCACTGCTTTCGTTAACGATGAGCTAGCAGCCGGATTTGGTGTTGACGGAGCTATTAAAGGTGACTTCTGTTGTGAGGTCTGTTGACAATGCATATGCTGCGTTTTGTTTGGCTGGTTCGATAGGAACATGTGTAATAGTGGCAAGAAAACAACGTATACAACCATAAAAAGAGAGAAGTTAGTTCCTATACTTACAAGCAATTGTAACGTCACTCCCTTGCAAGTTAAACAGATCAACTAACCAATGGAGTTGGCGACACCATGTGCAAGTCTCTCACGTTCGTACTCATTATTCTTTCTCCACTTTCTCCGCTCCTACCCTCTCGCAACACTCTCAGGCCTTTCTTAAAAGCCAAAAAATGCATCAACTTCATCTCAAGCTCAGTCATAATCTCCTTCAAATCTTGTTCATCTAATTCAACCAACTGACTAACGTCATTTTCACAAACGCCTGCTTCTACGAAACTGCTGTGGTACTGTGTGAGATTTAGTTGCCGGAGAAATTCCGCTAAAGTTGGATACTGTAAAGAAGCTGTACGATCTCCGGTCGGTGTCATGTATTGGTATGCCTGATTGGAAGAGGAGAATGAGAATTGCAAGGTTTATTAGATCAAACGAAATGAAGAGAATGTCGAAAGACCTGCCTCGGTGGTTTGTTGCGCAGGTGTGGTGGTCATGTAATCTGTAACATAGTTTTCTGATCAGCAAACGTTACAGCGATTACTATGTTGACACTTGAGTTCTACGTACCTAGCAGAAAGAACAAACGTAGACGCGTGCTACCGAACTGTTCAAAGTTGTATCGCGGACAGTCAAACGTTCTGACGCTCTTTATGGAGTGATGAAGAGTGTTTGGGTGAGGGAAGTTATTTTGCCTGCTGATCTCCCACACCCCACCCCCAAGAATAGGGGGGTCTGCGTTGATCAGTAATCATGTGTTGCTTTTCATTGGTTAACAGGTTCCATTCTGACGGCATACTAACGGTGTAATTCATTGTCACGGGATATAACGGTAATAACAATAAAATAACAATAATAATAGAACTTGTGCTGCTCCGCGAAGTAGATGATGTTGATGACTAAGTGCAGAGAGGAACTTGTCCTATTACCATCTCCAAATTTTTGACAAATCTGAGAGTCGAAGAATTACAACACCATGTATTTTAAACAAAGATCACCCCGTATGTTCCCAGGAATATTAAGATAAAGAAACTATTACTTACAAACTTTATCAAGAAGAACAAAAGATACAAAGCAATAAACACAATTTATGATGAACAAACGAAGAATACATCGGATGAACGTGATCTGCGGCACAGCACGAATATTACTGCGTACACAGGCTTGTACGTCCTATCCATATATAGCAAAGACTCGGTATCCTCAATAACAATTATCGAATTTCTACTACCTAATTAATGAAACGCTAAATGGATATTTAATCAGCGGTGATTTATATTCTAATAACGAAGCTTATAGTATTTAATTATTTATATCAATCCGTGCTGCACTATCCCACCAAGGCAAAACCGTATTTCTGGATCTTAACTACAAATTTGGCCTCGTCATTGAATTTATTATTTGATTATCAAACGCGTTTCGTGCAGAAAACTTTCCCGGCGAATTATATTCGACGTATAGCTCGATGTTATACAGTAATCTACAGAAAAAATACACTAACTGCCTATATTGTTGACATAACTTGACAATTTCAATATCTTACCGTATCTTATAGAAAGGTGTCTGGGAGTGTTCTGGGCATCCCCCGTGACCTATTCATCAGACCCGTGCCAGGATTCCTTCATCGCGTGCGAGCACTGGGGAGAGTGGTGAGTAGAGGGCATCACTGGTAACCACCCACCGTCCGATCCAAATCCGCGTCCGTCCACCGGCTAGAGACGAAGGAGAGCCACTAGTCAACCAATTGAAGAGTAATTTATCTGCTCATATAACAAATATTAATGTAGAGAGAAATTGTGCGTAATACAATGTGGCGGCAACGAATTGTTTGTTGTATTATGCTTTAGAGGAATGTTGCACAATAGAGCGTTCAGTGAGTAGACGCGTGTTTAAACTCTTTCATCAGTTAGTAGTTAATAAACCGTAGCAACGAATTGCTTGCTGTATTTACGCAACAGAGAGAAGCGTCGATAAGTAAGTGAATGTTTAAACCCTTTTATTAATTATTGATTCATAAGCCGTATTGTTAGAGAAGTGTTTGTGAGCTGTAGCAAACTGTCGAATAAATGTGGGATGCCGACAAAGGATTGTTTGTTTTACATTTAATTTGAATAATGTTACATTTGTGCTTTGAAGGAAGAGAGGTTGTTGGTGAAGCAATATGCGTCAGAGTGTGTTTTGCTGTTGAGTGTCAAGAGTTTACAATTGATAACTTGTTTGTGTTCGTATGTGCGTAATATAAAGCGGCCTGGCAGAAAATTGTTCGTGTATAAATACGGTTGTATATGCGGTTTCGAGGAAGGGAAGTTTGTGTGAAGCGATGCGAGAGAGCGTCTGGGGGATATATGTACATGTATGTGATGTATGTATGAATAGACGCGTATCCGTGTGTTAGATGACGGGATACAACGCATATTACATCTTTACTGTAAATAGAAATTATCCTTGTGTGACACACATAGCCGATATTTTGTTGGGATAATGCACGATTATACGTTACAAAGTCTTTCCAAATCGCCAAATAAAATACTAAATGATCGGTGACTTAAGCTCAATGACAGGATAATCCGCTACTAAATTGGTAAAAATTTTGTCAATCTTTATACAAATCACGTAAATCCGACTTAGCGAGAGTCATTTACTACTATCTGGCTGGAAGGTTGTCCAACTTACAGCTTAACGAGCATTTATATATGTTGATCGACTTATCGAGTGTCCGACTTATCGAGTCTCACTGTGTCATCTGATCATTTACGGTACATGATTTGTGTGACCTAATAATTGTTTAAGAACGCGTCTTTAGTTACGAGATCTCGCGTCTTCGCAATTAATATCAACAAAGTAAAAATGATAAGAACGCAAGAGGTTCGCAAAGAGCAAAACAACTTCTTTAAGAAACATGAAAACCCCCGTCCGTTGAACTTCTTTATAGAGTTTAAATATCGCAGAAAGTCATCTGGTTATCACGATTATAAACAACAATTGGACAAAGCGTTACAAGACGACCCTAATTCAAAAAAGCTGTTAGATTTACGGAGAAAATATGATAATAATTACAAAAATGACTGGGCGCAATATGAAGATTGGAAAAAAAATAAAAAAGTCAACGTATGTTATTTTATTCAAGCTGAAGAAACTTAGATAGATACTGACAAAACATTGAAATAATAGGAAGCGGTAAAGAAAAGGAAGCGCGAGGCTCATGCCAGATTTCATGCTCAATTAGACGACAACCTCGATGGTGGAAACTTTTTTGATAGTCAGAAGAGCGTAAGTTGATTATTATTAATTCTTTTCTCTACGAGATAACGCTGGCTAAGAAAACTCCAATAAAAAGAATAAAGAGGTCAGTAGCAACAATAATATCGACAAAGAGGATGTGAATAATTACGAAAGTGAAGAGGAAGAAATTATTCGAAATGATAATGAGGTAGCTATGTAATATTCTAAACGAATGCGCTTGTAATGTTATTGACCTTTCCATCATGCAGACAAGAATAACAGATGTCTTAGAAAATGTCGTTGAATACTCAGAGGCGATGAAAACAATTTGTTCGGTCTATATGGAACAACATTCTGATGGTGATCTCATTGACCTCCGTTCGTGTTCGCCCTTCTTTAAAAAGCTCCCAAAATTAGTAGCACATTCTTACCTCTTAGAATTGGATGAGATAACGGAATCTCTGATTCCTATGAATGTGCATGATTTTCTCGTACAATTTTTTTCACAAAAAATCTCCGATACCGAATGGCAAATTAAAGTTGATGATCTGCGACCTCCAAAACGGAACGATCCCTAATGACTGCAGTAGTGCGAATTTTACATCGCACCCTACCACAGTTGTACGTAGTTATTATTATCATGTTGATTCATTTTTCCAGATTTCTGTTCTTAATATTTTTTTATTCGAATAGCATAAAGGCGTTTTCTCATGGGGCTCAAAATCCTCTTCAAAACATTGCAACTATTGAGCAAGCTCATCTCAATGCGTTTGTACATCCGTGTCTCGATGCCGCACTATGGTATTTAGCAAAGATACGTTACGAATATGGAGAGATTCCGTCCAGGAACCATATTAATAAGAACCGCGCTGATGGTGTTGGTTTTATGTCTAATACGGATAAGTTTCAACTCGTATACGTAGAAGGTTCAGGACCAATGGTGGAAAAAGAGGTTACTGACATCAAAAAGATTCCAAATAATTTGAAGAACATATTCTCGAAGATAGTAAAAGAAACGGTTAAAAACCGGAGGCGTTTACCAAAGAAGCTGGCCGTATTTGGTGGGCAGAGTTCTCGTCTGCGAATTTATTTGCACTATCTTGATTATTGCGGTAAGTGTGCTTAAAAATTTATGCTACGAGAAAGTACTAATGATTCTTTGCCTATATAAATTTAGGAAAGTATCGATTAAACGAAGTTGATAACGCTAATCTACCTCGAGACTTTTCAGAAATGCCGGATTTTGTCTACTTTTATGAATGTGTATTGAAGTGGGCAGTACGTATTAATGCAGGGTATTTGTGTTATGGACATTGAACATACACTAATCTTATGCATAATTAGCTGTTGGTTCAAGCCGTTACAACGTCTTTCAGTGAAGCAAGAACCGAGAAGAGGCCTTCGCGACTTTCATATGCAAACTGCCATCGACTGGATGAATGATCTTGTAATAGGTTTCTTATATATTGGTGGCTTATTTTTCTAATAGTTACACTTTGTCCTATACTGTATTTAGTAAAGTTGCATAATATCGAAAAATGGTAGTATGTAATGTTTACGCTCAAGGCACTCTAATAACTTAGGTACAATAAAAAGATTTTGAATAAATGCGCTTTTTATATAAAGTAATGTCGAACACTCAATCCAAAATCGTTTCGTTGCAAGAATTAAATTCTCAACTCATTGCCACAATTGCTGAGCTTAGAAAGGAGAATGCCGAGAATACAAAATTGAAACAAGCTATACGTTGCAAAGTATACCATGACGTCTTTCGTGATCTCCTCCATTGATAAATCGGGTCACTTTTAGTGGAGCTGGCTTTATTGCTACCTTCATCGATTAACGGGATGCTCATATAATCTATTATAATTTTAGGAGAAAATCCAAAGATAATTTCGCTTCGCGCATCCATAACCAATCTTAACCCCAATATCAGATCAAACGATGGATTTTTGCGAATTTGAAAGTCTATTACTTCAGTACAATCTAAGCTTCGCCACTTTCCTTTATAGTGAAACTGTAAATCTAAGCATTTTATTTCTTCACTGATCAATTCATCGCCAGATGAACATTCCAACCATAAGCTCATCTTGCTAATGGTATTGGATTTAGATGTTGTGCCTTTACTGGGATTTTTCCTTCTACGAGTGTTTTTATGAAAACCATGTCAATATTATTTAATAATACATATATGTTATAACCGAAAAAACAACTCGGTAAATAATTACTCATTCTCCGTACTATTTATAATCCACGATGAATGATTAGGATTAACCTCTATATAATTTCTAAATACAGGAATAAATCCGTTCCAATTATTATGCCAATGGGAATTGGAGTATGTAAATCATTTGAATAACACATTGCTACAGCCACGAACGCATTTCTCCAAAAAATTGTCTTATTAACTCTGGTAGCCATGTCAAGCACAATCTGCTTTTCTTGCACGTCTTGAGAAAGACATGCATTTTAAATTTATGCATTTTTGCACCAATTAACACCTTCATGTTCTAAATCGGGCCGAATTGCGCTTTAAGGAAATGATTTCCATGCTTTAGCCGCAAACCTCAAAAAATTTTCCCATCTTTTTCTGATCAAAATGCATTCAGCGCGGAAACCTTCTCCTTTAAATCCCAAGAGACGGAAAATAGAGGGAAAATCATCACCAGAGAGTTCAGCCTCATTTCATCCAAATGGATTGATAAACGACCACTATACGGACAGCAACTTTGTAACCAACTTTCGTAATGCTTTTCAAACCAGAACAGACTTTGAATGTAGTACCACTAGTGCTAGACTTTATCCTACGCCATTCCGCACTGGCTGGCTTCCAGACATATTTTCGTCTCCTTTCGCACACAACGTAAAACAAGAAATAGTCACCGAATACTATAGATTGAAATCTTCCGATTTGTTTGAATTTTATCAAAGCGATGATTTAAAGGAAACAAAGAAACCACAGTTACAGAAATTGCGGGATGCATTGTATTCGGATCATTTCGTGTCGATGATGTCTAATCTGACAGGAATAGAATTGAACGATACGCCCGACATATCAGCGCACATGTATTTTGAAGGACATTATTTGTTGTGTCATGACGACGATATAGAAGATGACGGGGAAATGACGGGAAGAAGGATTGCATTCATTATTTATTTAGTCGATGAATGGAATGAAAGTGACGGCGGAGCGCTGGAGTTATTCAATATGTAAACGCGACGTCTCTCTCTTTATCTCTCTATCTCTCTAAATTTCTCCATTTGTTTTGTTGCTATGTCATCCTTTTTCCCAACCTCTTTGGATTTTAACACTTTATCTCTCCTTTTAAAGCGACAACGGAGGTAACCCGGCCGAAGTCACGCGCTCAATACTACCAAAATATAATACGATGGCCTTTTTTGAAGTTACGCCGACGTCATTTCATCAAGTAGCAGAAGTCCTGTCGCCAACAAAAGCCAGGTTATCGATATCCGGCTGGTTTCACGGATCTTTAAAAACGCGACTATCGCTTGCGGTATATCGCCCAATTACGCCAAAAGTGTCGAAAATAACAGAATATGTCAATCCACGCTGTTTAACGGATGAATTCATACAGCGAGCTAGAAAAACGCTCCGTAAGAAATATTTCCTAGAAATACAGGATTTTTTAAAGGATGACGTGTATGACAAACTCCTGGAAAGTTTAGACCGCGTCGGATGGTCAGAAAAGCCAATAGGTCCTGCCAACATCCGTAAATATTATCTGCCAAAGTCAAACACCGTCGATAACCTTTCCGTCGATTCGGCCTCCCTCCCATTGCACAGCGCCATTCAATCATTCTTTACTTCCGGCGCGTTCGCCGAATACCTGTATAGTATCTCGTGTTGGCGATTCCATTCTGTTGCATCGGAAACACGTCGTTTCTATCGCAACAACTATACAGTTATACACGATAATGGATGGGATAGAGAAGGTCTCGATGTAGTGTTTTCTTGCATTCGCGGTGTATGGAATGAATTGTGGGAGGGATCTACTATTTACATCGATACCGAAGTAGAACCTGATGAAGAAGGTACCGAGAAAATATATGAAATGTGGCCGGAACAGAACGTGCTAACTTTGGTGTTGAGGCCAAAAATGACTCATAGGTTTGTCAAGCACTTAAAGTGTGAAGATGGGAAGGTAAGACAAGAAATGAGTTTTATTTTCTTGGAGGAAAAGAGGGAAGGGGAGGATGATGAGGATGATGAGGATGAGGATGATGATGAGGAAGATGGTAGCAGTGACTGCGAGGATGATATTTAGAAATTTGAAATGTAATTGCTTTTCTCTTTGAACGCGAGATTGATCTTTTCATGAATTATTGCCTTTATCATGTTGATAAAATAAGAAAAACAATTTGGAATTGTTAGATTTAGAGTTGCTGGCTATAATTATAATAAAAACCATAGTCTTTTGCAATTTTATTGGCCAAAATAATATCATGTGCAACAATGATTGATCGACCCCAAGCGTCGGTCATTTGTATCGTTATTATTATTATTATTTTAGTTTTATAACAATTACTGTTGTCGAACTGAAGCTTTCGCCGACAAATAAGTGACAATGAGTCTTGCTGCACCGGTCAGCGACCATCCCCCACAAACCTACGATCCTGAGGAGGTGAATGAAAACGCGCTCGAGCTTACGATTTGCCGTGTTCTGCCTCGCAATATTTGCCACGACATATATACTAACTCCACTATAATTTATCATACCTAGATAGAGATGCTCAAGCGAGCAATTGAGCTCTCTCTCCAGAAGAGTCCAGACACACAAGTCAAACGGACATCAGCAAAGGATATATACTAGTGCGTATGTCGAAGCTCACACCACCCAAATGATAAACTCGACAACTGACACGCATTGACGTTGTTCTATCCTAAACTCCTCTAGCTACGTCGTATTACCATGCATCATAATAACGGTGCTTTACTTATTCCTTACAGCGGTAGTAGTTCCCGACTTTGTTGAACGTGTTGACTCCAGGATGTTGGAATTGTCGAGAATGAAGTCGACGTGTTGGACAATGTATCTGGAACTCTCATGTTCGTTCCGCATGTTGAACATGACAAAGGCATTGGATGAGATATGTGAAGAGTACTCGCGATGCAGTGTCGGAATAGGTCTATTTGTAAATAGGTATGTGATAGAACGGGAGGGTGAATGTGAAGGAAGTAAACATTGGTGAAACGTAATTGCTTATTTGTTTGTATTTTTCTTACCTTCAATGAAGAATTGGTATTGTCGGAACCATGATAAGACAGTTTTTTGAGGGGTTAGAGTTGTCTTTTGACGATATGTCTTATTCGACTATCGGTAAAATCTTGATCATATTGGTAAGTGGAGGAATGGCTGATTTTGTAGAATTCGAGTAAGTATGAAAATTAACGCGATCAAACTTTCTTTAACAGGGTTCGTTAATCATTATCAGAACGATAGCACGTGTATTGAGCACACTTGCTTTCCGACACAATGGAGAACAAGGGTCAAAGAATTTAATCAGAAATTGAACAAGTTATGCCGATGAATGTACAGTAAATAAACACATATACAATATATACATATGCACCCCCTTGTTTTTTATATATCAAATATAGGTGATTTATTATTAGAAATGATTCATGCTTATTTGCCGTTTTAATGGGTACTAATTTGCAACGCTTATGTGGCGGAGGAAAATGATGTATAATTAACAAAACAAGTAAAACTGTGTGAATGATGTTGACCAATTTCCGTCTTTATCTTATATTGTTTATCAATCAAAAGGCTGTGGCAAAAAGCTTTTTATATATTATAGGCAGGAATGCACAAGTGGTCGGTTAAGATATATTCTTTGTTTGAGCATGCACCAAGTGTTTATATGGAAATCTGACACTGTGCCATATCAAAGCAGAACTGTCAATGTATATTTGATTTTCCCAAGATATCGAGTTATTCACAGCTATACGGTATAAAGTATTTTCCGATCCGCACTTACGATGCATATTATTAATAGAATAATCCCTAATCGAAAGCAAAAGGGTCGATTTATTCGACGCGCGTTCTTTGTATCTCCCGGTAAATGGCTCGCTTTCAATGCAAAGGTCTTTGGACATTTATACTTAATCCATATTTCCATGATTAGGCACTCATTTAAAAAAGGAATTAATTAGTTCCACTATACCAGGTAGAGAATTATTGGCCCACAATCAATTTCCATATTCTATCTCAAACGCTTATCCAAGCGATAAAATACCAGACGCGAAAATGCTTGCCAAAAAAAACGCCGTGCATTTTCCGTGTCGGCTGCACCGTGACGGAAAATCCGTGTCGGCTGCACCGTGACGGAAAATCCGTGCCAAGCGCAGAAATATTGTCATTCCGTGACGAGTTTTCAGTGTCAGCAAGTAACGTTTACCCCCACTAGTCAAAATACCGAATCAAAAATTGCCCTATTTGAATTAGAATATTTCGGATTCTGTGGCATAATAATTGCTGTTGTTGTTCTATCATAAGAACCTTATTTGGGCACATTAATTAATTAAATTAGGTCACTTGTAATTGTAGATTCAGTCGCAAAAGCAAGCACACCGGAATAAGGGCGTTGAGTTAAAAGATTAAATTCCGCCATTCTAGCCAATTTTTTAGATATAGTAGCAATTTTAGCTCACATGAACAAAACGTTCGTTTTGTTGCAGTATGGCCCAATTATAGTGTTTTGCGAAATATTATCCCACTTTTGCAGTACTTTTGGTTCTTCACTTTTTATTAATAACAATAATAAACGCAAGTTTTACATCAAAATTATTAGGGAGATTAGTTTGAAGAAATTTTTGTTTGCATGTTATCTTGTTAGGACATTTTAAAGATAAAAAGAGTGAGAAACTTGGCAAGGGAAATTCTATCACTTTTCCCATTGCTTAGCTCAGGAAGGAAAGGCGATCGTTATAAAAAACCATTGACTTTTAATTGTAATATGATTGTCTAAAGAGTTTGTATACATTGTATGATGTATATACTCCGCGACATTATTGATCATTGACACATGGATATTATTTGGCATTGACTGACATTCACACCTTTCAACGGTAGCAATGCATTTGCGTTCCCAATCTCTGAAGGGAAATGTCCTGTGCACTGTTCGTATGGCAACTTTTGTTTATCTGTCGTGTCATGGCACACTTGTAACGACTCGTTACACTAAATTTCAGTTGCTGCGTATTTTCCATTGCGCTTTACAATACAAAGACATCTTTTTCTTTGGCTTATTCGGATTACTAAATATATAATTGAATTCGCATGATCGGAATATCGGACTTTGCGCCTAAGATGCGTTACTCCAAAAATTACGCCGCACTGTTGGCACCATTTGTTTTTTTTTGACAAGTAATTCGGGAGCACTCGTCATAATTGCGACTTGTCTTTCTCTGCGTGTTGAGTTATGTCAGGTTTTATGTAAACCGTGCAACTTGTTAGCGACATGTTAATTTTTGGTTTATGAAAGCTGTTAAATTAAAGGCGTCCTTATTTCGCTCGGCTTTCTTTAGCATAAATGTATGAATACGGGGAAATCTCGTGTTTTTGGTTTGGTTTTACGGAAAGTCGATTCTTTATGCATTGCATATGTTCGAACATAAACAAATAGGCAATGCTGTCTTATAGTGCGGTTCTTTGCAAATTGGCACTTGTCTTTTCCAAATGCGGTATTAGACAATATATTCAACGTCATGCTGCGAGAGAAATGCATGCGTTTGTCTTTGTAATTTACCATATTAGCATTATACGATAGACATTTATATTTCTCGTGATACAAACAAATTGTCGTATTGTCCATATGTACAAAAATGGTAACGATGTCCTCTGACCAACTATTGTTTATCGTTATTATTATTAAACTAATACTAATAGTTATTATTATTGTTATTTATTATTATCAAATTGTAGTGATAAATATTATTCCGAAAACACGCACAAATTTATATTCGTCGCGAGCATCTGACAAAAAAGCTCGTGTTGTCTAAGTAACTGTTTTGTTTTTGACGCTAGTGATAGGACTACTCTCAAACAGGGTTACTTCTTACAACGGTAGGCATCCTTGAAGATAATAAACGTGGGAAAATAAGAATGCATAGTTATGTTATTAGGTGAAGGAGTAGCATTGCTCCAAGTATCGCAAAACTTTTGGGAGGTGGAATGCGTAATTTCTATTTGATTCGCCAATCCATGCTCATCTTACGCAAAACGCGTTTCGGCACAATCAAAGAGGAGTGGTTCTTTCCACTATTATTAGAATCAGGATATGCGATAGTCTGGATTGTTCATTCGAGTGTGAAACCCTATTGATTATTTTTTACGCTCCTATTATCAAGGTATCACCATCAAAACATTCTTTACATGCGGAAATACCTATCGTTATCATGCATGCATAGATCCCAAAGAGGGTAATGAGTAAAGTTTTCAACGGTAGGTTAACCATTTAATGATAGCAAAGTGCAATTAATTGGTTTATTTACCAAAATGGGCAAGCTCCGTAAGTATCATTTTCGAGAGGGCCATATTAAACCCCTTCTCATCAGAATAAAGTAGACCTTGATGTGAGAACGGTAAACGTAAATCTCGCTGTTTTAGCATAAAAATCGCGCAAAATCGTTGTCGACGAAAGAATTGTAACACTCGGTTATGCAAATTGGCGTAAGAAAGTGTGGGAACTTGTGCATTCGGACAATGCATGATTTTCACCTGATTCAATCAAAGTCAAGAAACAATAATATTAAGAAGGGGGGGAAGAAGGTTATGGTAGCGAGCGCAGATGACATTATATGATGTGTCACATCTATTAGGCAGCGTAGTCCCTGGGACCGGAGAGACTTTATCATTAGTTTGAATCCATTTCATTCTCAGTAGCGCGTCATATTTTAATAGCGGCGAGACATAGATTTTTGCGTGTTGTAATAATAAGACCAATGTAACAATATGTATATGAATATCTTTATACTCATGTAAATAGTAATGTGTATGTAACCCACCAATTCTCTCTTAAGTAATAAAGCAATCTGAACAAAAAGCGAACGGCACACTTTAAGAACTCAAACAGGCAATCGGTGGCTTCATTTCATAGAACTACTGACATGACCGATTTTCTTTCTCGATAACGTAAAAAAAAAGACTGAAAATTTGTTAAAGAACTATGTGCTAAGGAAAAAAAAGAAGACTATAAATTTTTACTATGAACTGAAAAGCATCAGCGGGGCTATGCCAAGAGATGTGTTGGTGGGAGAACGTCGGCCAACCATTTTGCGATTCTTCTAGAATGCGCATAGGGCTTAAGAACGTTCTCCACGGAGGCGACGAGCAAGTTGGATGTCTTTAGGTTGAATTGTAACACGCTTGGCTATTAATGCCATCGAGGAGGTAGAGATTAGATGGATTAATAATCGTAGGAAAATGCATATAATGATCGAATACATATACTACACATACCATGAATAGCAGCAAGATTTGTATCTTCGAATAGAGAGACCAAGTATGCCTCGGCAGCCTATAAACATAATTGAGATTAGACATAATGACAACGACAACGGCAACGATAACAATAACAGTAACCATAAGCCAAGTCTCCATATACTTTGGTAACCTCAGTCGTTGTTTCTTACCTCCTGCAAAGCACCAATGGCGCTAGACTGGAAACGTAAATCAGTCTTGAAATCTTGAGCGATTTCACGGACGAGACGTTGGAAGGGCAACTTGCGAATCAAAAGTTCTGTGCTCTTCTGGTAACGACGGATTTCACGCAGAGCGACTGTACCGGGTCTGTAACGATGGGGTTTCTTGACTCCACCAGTGGTAGGTGCGGATTTGCGCGCGGCCTTTGTGGCAAGTTGTTTCCTGGGGGCTTTTCCACCAGTACTCTTACGGGCTGTTTGCTATGAATAGAGAAGGAGCAGAGGATGAATGAGTTTGGTGTGTTTTTAACAATAAAAGACGTCCTAGTCGTGTTTCTTTTGGGTTCGTAGTTGTTTTCAGACTATTACAACAACTGTCAAAGCCAAGCGGTATACATAGCTAAGCTCTTCAGAGGGTGTATCGTTTTGGGGAGGTTTATTATACTATCCTACAAGTTATTCTCTATTGTATAAGCCAGCGAGATGAATTACCTTGGTGCGGGCCATGAGTGGTTATATTGTAGAGGTAGTTAGAGGTAAGAAAGGAGGATTAAAAGATACTGTTTAATATATATATATTAAGAGACAGTAATAGTATATAGGAAAAGGTTGTGTGCGAGAGAGAATAACGAAGAGAGGGAAATGGGGAAGAAGGAAAGTACGATAAACAAATTGATGGAAATCGGGACTATTTGTATGAAAATCTAGTAAACAAAATTTCTGGTTTTTTGGGGTGGAAAAAGGATGAAGCTGGGTATATGTGAGAAATGCGAAAATGAGGTGGATCACAAAAATCTGAAATTTTTTTTATGTAATTGGAAAATTGAAAATGGCCATTTTTTTTAAATATAGTTTATGGTGACGATGGTGTAAATGGGATAATTATGATTAGCAAAGGTAATGGTGTAAAATGTTTGATTCCCTATTGTGCGTAATTGGTAGGAAAGTCTATTGGTAGACGAATGGATGGCATTGGAATTTATTGATTGCTGTTGTAGTAATAGTAGTAATAGCAGTAGTAGCGATATTAGTGAGCGATCCGCAAGTATAAGAAAGACGAGAATTGTGACACGTGATGAATAGTTTGGCGTGATTAATACAAGTATATATACAATATAGTTCAAGCTACTAATTGTTCATACTACAGCCTCATTTGCCTCAATTGGTTTAGTGCACTTTTTTCCCGTGCGTTAATAATGTAGTATTAATATATCTATCTCTCTATTACTATTACTATCTGAATTCACTGCGCTTGCTATCCCGCTTCTTGGGTCACATCGTTTTGCCCAAACCACCTCCTGTCTTCCAATGATGTTACCTAAACTTTATCGTTACAAAGCGGAATGTCATTTTCCCTTATTAAGATGTGTATTTAGTGTTTGTGTTGCGGGAGAGATGATTATGTCAATACTACGTGTGACGACGAATAAAATGCTACGTTTGGTCTAACTTCCACACGGTTTCAGTAGGACAGTAAATAAAGCATTGTAAGTCACTAGTCCTTTAGAAGTAACATGTTAGGTAATTACAAGTAAGCATGCTAAAATAGTGGTATTAGTATATTAATTAATATGCATATGCATGCTAAATTGGGCCAAAGCAAACGCCACATAAATTTTCAGGGGTCAAAATTGCTATATTAGTAACTGGGAAGAGCAATTAACTTCAAGCCACTTTATTTGGAAATTGAATTACAGGTCTAAAATTTATATTAATATTACCTCATTTTTACTGCATGTTTTCAAAAGGATAACATATTCAATTCAAAAATTAGTATAATAACTAATATTTCCGGATCGACAATTAATTTTATTATAATTATATATTAATATCGATATTCAGTTCTAGGTACGTACTACCTATTAATATCGATTGCCTATATAGCTGATCCCGTGATGTAATGTTTATTATACATGGGTCAAAAGCGGTATCGCTAATTTTAAATGCTGGGCACGCAAAAAATTTTTTTATTTTACTTTTTTAGATGAATTATCATTATTGTTATGTTGAATCTTCCTTTACGGTTATTACATAAGAGTGGGCTACACCGTCAGAATTGCGGGTGATATATATGAGATCTGCATGCAGTTACAGAGAGAGTTTCCTTTCCGGCTATTGCATAAGAGTGGGCTATTACGGGTGTTATTTATATAGAGATCTGCATGCAGTTACAGAGAGAGTTACAGTGCACTTACTAAATACGCTTATGGCAATGGTAATAACAAGGTTATAGCAATAGTAATGGCAATAGTAAGGGTCAAACTCTGTTTAAAATCTTGTAGTGAGTAAGACGCATATTATATAAAGTTACCCTGTTGCAAATAAACAGATGTTTACTGAACAAACAAGCGTGGGTAAATCTGCATGATGAAAAAATTTCACAAGATTGGACTAACTGTAAACTCTTTGTTATTCAGGCACTTTACGGGAACGAGTATGTAGTAAAAGTTTTTGCATTAGAAATAAATCAATAACACAAACTATGTGCAATGTTAATATTACAACGTTCGAATAAAACGTGCAAATTGTGATATCATCAATAAACGTTTGGTTTCACTGATCGCCATGTGACATTACTTCATGCGCGGATTGCATATGAAAAGGTGGAATTTACGCTGGCGTGCCACTACGAAGAAACCGTTCAGCCTGCCACTTGTTAACTCTATCGATCTGGTGATACAATTATACGTTAATATTCAGAGTATTTTATTATAATGTCTGTGGTTAGTACTGTAACATGGTTATACGTTTTACTAGTTAATATATGTATCGATATATCGTGGGTTTTCAAAAAGTGAAGTTTTGAAAAATCGATTACGATTACGATTTGTTTGCTTATTTTACAGTGGGGACCATAATTTATTAAAGAAATCGACTCATTGTAATGGATAAGTCCACTCAAAAGTCTATCACACCCGATATGCTAGTGAAATTGTGTCTTTCGCAAGAGTGATAATGGGGTATGTTAAGAATCGAAAAAAAAAGTTTTCTTTTGTTCTTGTATTAAATAAATACCATGGGTAATGAAATTAATTAAATTTTATTACCAAAAATTTTGAATTTCTTCGTTGAACGCGTCGAACATTATGTATTATTGTTGTTTACGCAAATTAGCCCCAGTTAAGCGGATGCTGGAGTATCAGACGAGACAGGACAGGAAAGAATCGTTTGATTATCGGTACAATATTTTAACATAATTTATACTTAAGCAATAAGAGGTATTAGTATGAAGAGCTGCCTGAGATTTTTGCAAGAACACATTTAGAGCTAAATTTTGACATCCCCTGGCCAAATTAATGTCAGCAGTAACCGTCATCGTGAAAACGAATAGAAATTTATTTTGACGTCTTTATTTACATTTGACACAAGTCTTAAAGCCTTTGCTCATTTTCTATCTAAACCGTTCGTGATTTCTTTTCCTTTATATTCGAACTTGCCCCGGCTACTCGTTTACCTGCTGATAAAGAGGAGGACGAAGACGTGGCTGCATTAGCCCATTCGAAGAAATTACATCGACTTTCAGGCGTCGATCCGACAGGTCTGGTTTTTTTGCAAGTGAGAAAACACGAGTATAAGAATTAGTGCGATCGATACGAGCAAATATTTTATAAATTTTGCCAAAATACCTAGAGCATAAGTAAAATAATCTTCCACGATTAGGTCCAGTCTTGTTTACTTTGAATTGTTTGCATGGTTCACCATGGACATTGCAGTTGGGTATTGGTTTGGGCGTGAACAGAGCATTCCATTTATTTGTCACTTCTATATTCTTATTACCGGTTACTTTTGTATCTTTATCGGATATCTCCAAAGGATCCAGGTCAATTGGCGCATCTTGACTACCCAAACTGGTCGACTGAGATACTTCCTGGGGAGATGAGCATTGGCTCAATGTCTCCTCGGTTGTTGATATGATTTTCTCTTCCGCACTTTCTCTTGTTGTGGCTGCAGATTTAAAAAAGTTGGCTATTGACGTCTGGCTACAGGGAGGCGATATTTGTTCTTTTGAAATACTGAGTTTTTTTTGAACCGGCTTTGATACTTGTTTTCTTGGTCTCTTTGCGGTTGCTTTCTCAACAGATAAAGTGTCCTTTTTTTGATCCGCGTTTTCATCTGTATCTATCTTTGCGTCATAACTACGTTCGCATGAATTCGCACTTGATCCTTCCGTTGCCGATTTCCCCAACCCTAGCGTTGCTTTGTTTTGAGTTGCTGAAGTGAAAAAACTTTGCAAAGTTTGCTGTTTTCCTGCAAACTTTGCCATATACTTGGCGCAAAGTCTAGGCGTTTCCGCCCTAGCCTTTCCTTTCAGATTAATTTCATCCAGCAACACGTGTTTTTGTTTATCATGTATTTCATCATATAACTCTGCTACGACCGGACAATGATCCGAACCCATGATACTGGGGTCAATGTTGCAAGATTTGAACCATTTCATGAGACCCTTATCCGCTAATATGTAATCTATGCGTACACCTACACGTAAAATAGCATGATGAGACGAGCAAAAGACGCCAAGGCCTAGCGCACGCAGGTGGATTAAAATTCACCCAGCCAACCAACACATACCATAATTCGCAGGTCTGTTCAAAAACCACAGGCAGCAATGTTAACAATATGTATTGTGACAAGGACTATGGATATGATGGAAACGTTCAACTATTTTACATCTTACCGCGCATTAAGTACTGTAGACCAACCTATAGTAAAGGGTCTTGATCAGATACAAATACATCATTTTTGAGCGTGGATTCAAATCAACAGTATAACATTAGGCGCGCATTCTCTCCGTTCCACTTACAAGTATACATGGCCTTCTCACCAGGATGAAACTATAATATTCCCAAACAAATCAATATTGTCAAGAAAAAAAAAACGTGACTAATCAAATGAAATTTCCTTACCATTCTGCACACATCGACCATCGGTCCATTAGGCACCACAAAAGAGTCAAACCATTTGCGAGCAGGATGATCTCCGAACGCATTCAATCCTTTATCCTTTGTTGCGCCCTTTGGATTACAATGGTCTATTTCCTTATGCTCAATGTTCATATCACCCACAACTATAACACGTTTGCCTGTTTGTAAAAGTCCCTCGACGCGCGCTTTCAGTATTTCATAGAACTTCAGCTTAAACGGACGTCTTTCTAGACTAGACTCGTTCGGACAGTAGACATTGAAAAGAGTAAAGAGATTAAAGTCTAGTACTACACATCTGCCCTCGCTGTCTATGGCAAGCAATTCTTCCGTTGTATAGCCTGGTGGGATGCAGCCGATGACAGCTTCTGGTGTTGTATCATCAGATTCCTTCATTGCAGAGGCTGTCTTGGCATATATGCCTGAAATGCCCTCTTCGGCAGCAATAGGAGAAATCACCGCATTCTTTACGTATGTAACGACACCAGAGTATGCAGACTTGCCCTTTGTAAAGGAGAAATAAGCATCGTATCCTGGAATAAGAGCTAATGATGAATCTAATCGGTCGAGCGTTATTTTTGTCTCCTGAAAGCAGATTATGTCGGCATTCAAAGTATCTAATATCGTCTATAATTTAACGAGAACAAAAGGTGAACTTTTAAACTGAAAACAATCCAACGGTAAGATGATCAGGAATAGAAAGCCACTGTTAAAAAACGACCTTGTAACACTTATGTTCGCACCACCTATTGAGTAAGTCATCAAATTGAGAGATCAGACTTGGATCTACTTTGTATTAATAAAACTTGGCAGATCACTCACGGATAGTACTGATCCAGAGATCGAAGGCCATTCACGTTCCAGGTAAGAAGCCTCATGATTCAATCAATAGCGTCGGTTGAAAAGTGACATTTTTATTTCGAGTGGCACGAAGAATTTCACGTGACAAAATTGGTTTTTTTTATACTAGTACTAGTACTAAATCAAATTTGTGTTATTTCTGTAATTATGTTTACAGCCTCAAGGCAACAAAGATCGCGTTTATTTCGCGACGCTTCTAATATCTCTTCCACTTCAAGCCAACAAGGCTCAATAATACCCCTCTCTCGCTCCGCCTCGGAACACTTTTCCTCTGACGGCGATGGCTCTTCCTTTAGTGAAATACGACACGAAGAGGTGGGAACACCCCCACTTCGTCCTCCCTACTTCCCTGATCTTTCTGGCTTTGTAAGAGAATTAGATACTCCCACACCTGCTAATGCTTTATACCTGAAATATGAAAAACACATTGTAGAGCATTTTGCCGCTCTTCCTTCTGAAGTCGAAGTACTTTTACGAGATGCAGGAGGTTGGTGTTGGATAGTTTAATAATACTGAGGAACTACTTTACCGCAGAGTAAAGAATGAATACGGAATTTGTTGTACATGATGTAATAACCAAATAAACCATATTAGAACAATGTCAAGGCTCAATAAATTGTAGTGTCGGCTATGCTGCTGTGTGGTCACTTACAGACTGTTATGTTTGGGATTATAAGAAAGATCATGAAAAGGTTTGAATTCCATGCACCTTGATATTTTACTAAATTTCCATATCGTTTTATTATCGAGTCGATGTTGATCAAAGGGCTATCCCTTACAGCAGTTCCAGCGAAGAATGCCAACTTGTTACAAGTTTCCAATGCCGACTGATGGTGTTCGCACACGAGGTGCCTTTGACTCTGCGACACCTTTTGTTTGCATCGTGCCGCCTATTGATGGAGTAACACCGGGCCTACTAGCATGCTCGTTAAAAGGCAATTTTAGATACTGGGATGATGTGTCCCTTGCATTAACAGACATTGAAAGATACAAGAGTCTTGATTTATATCTTCACGAAGACGATTGTGTGACATGCTTAGATTGTTATGAGGTGGATTTACCTGTGTATTATTATCAGCATAATATTTTTCGTCATCGTAAACTAAGACGTGATATTCCGAATTCAGTTTTCCTCGTCAAAGGATGGTAATGTAATAATAGTTGGCACGGCAAAACTAAACCTATCTAGAATCATTGTGAGAAAAGAGGGAACTTCTACACTTGAGAGTTCCGTTCTGCCACGTAATCCGGGTTACATCAATCCGTTGCTGAGTTCGGTTTTTGGACGAGCCGACAAGCATGCAAATTTCAGAGTTGTTGCTACTACTCTTGGAAGAAAGCTCGAGAGAAAATATTTGTGGTAGGTGACGGGGTATTTTTCTCCAAACGGTTTATTTTGTTGCTTTACAAACTACACGCGATAACTGACAAATGCTCGTCATTCGGGTGGGCAGCGAACTGTTTGTGCTTACGGAAAAAACTCTCGAACTCTATGCACTTGCGCCTGCGCCTCGTCCACACAAGGTACATGCATTGATACTCAATGTTGCCATTGATAGCATCTGAAAGAAATGACGGTTTAACTTTTTTCCTCCCAAGTTTATTTCTACTAGTGACATACACGATCTCATAGCAAGCGAAATTCGAGAAAGTGATCCAAAGCTGTTTGAAGCCATTAGTTCTCTTGATTTGAAGTTACTTGACATTGAATACTCAAAGTGAGTAATTTGATGACTTGTTATTGGACATTTTTTATCCTTGTTAAATCGTTATGCACACCTTAGAAATGGAGAACTAGTCATATTGGTCTCGTCTTCAGTGCGATGGAACGAGATGGATGATGATGATTGTCTGTACTCTTTGGTCACCATCGGAATGGATCGGTCTGAGAACGCGCAGTATCGCGTTGTAGAAAGCCGAAGATTAAAGTTTCCTAGTGTAAGTTGTTCTGTACTGTATAGTCTGTGGAGATTTTTTTAGGCCGACTGAAATGTTTGGTATTTAATTTCTCTAAGCACTTATTATGCCCTGCATTGTTTGTAGTCATTCTCGTTGTCTGCGAAACCACGGCTTGTGCTTCCTAATGGCGGTCCTTCTGTATTTGTAATATCTCCAGAAGCAGTTATAATCACAGCTCTCGTAAAAGGTACATATCATTCTAGTCTTTTGCCCCATGTCGCATATTGTATCACGTCTCTCATAATATTTTCATATGGTGTATAGGCGCTGATTACAACGAAACGATGACTATGCGTGATTCTCGGCGAGATAAACTTGTTGGTTACGGTTATGAAAAGAATGACGTGTTTGGACGCGGTGAACGCGAGAGTGTTTTGCATGTGTTAACCAGTAGAACGGGGGTGATGAGCTGCCGTCTGCGAATCGGTGATATAGTGAATGAGGCTATGCAGAGAGGGTAGGTAAGGAGGTGTTATGATATTAAATCTTGAACAATTTATCCAATCATCCATCATTTGATCAATTTAGAGAAGCTGATGAACAAGACGTTGAAATAAAACAGGCAGGTTTCCTATCTGAGTAAGCTTGCGTTTTCTATGGTTGTTACCTTAGTTCTAATTCTTGGTACTCAATTTAGGCAAGGTTGACACAAGATCTAAAAATAATGTTGGAACGGGCTGTATTCTATCATAATCAAGAACACGTAATTATCTATGCTTAATTTGTAAGAACTTTGTGTACCGAGAGGCCGTTTGATGCAAATATCTTCTTTTTTTAGAATCCTCTCCAACCTTACCTTTCGGCAGACCAAGGGGGTGATCTGAATCTGGCTGCATTAGAGCTTAGTGAAGAGATTTTAGATACAAGTATGGCTTATGTTGAATTATATTCTATCGTATAAAGCATAAGATTAACCAGGGCGACATTCTGTAGGTTCGAAATATCTTGACGATTCAATAGATCTCAAATATCAATTGAACGATCGGCTAATCAAGATGACCCGCATGGTCGAATTCATAGGTTCATGCGGAAGATTGAATCAGGTGCGCATATGTTGATAGAGCTATATATTTCCGACGCTTTATTAATAGCCTGGCTAATGTCTTACTCAATATGGTTAGTTAACAACGGCTACTTTGACACGTTTATTCTGGAATGGCGATAAAATTGCTTGTGCAAAAGGTTTATGGGATTACCAGAATAACTCTTATGCGTAAGTATTCTACCCAGCGACAGCCTCGCGTGTATTATTCTGCTTTACATTTTTTGACCGTCTTCTAGTAAGCCCGAAGCCAATAGATTCAATGTGAACCTATTGGAGCATGCAATAAAAGCCTATTTCCACGATCGTAACATCGAGGCTCAGGCCAACGAAGACCTCAGCAGACAGTTTTACAAGTATCATGTAAGCCAATAATGTGGTGATTTTTTGCTGCTAAACCAAGCCACTAAGTGGTAATTATTCAAAAAACTTTAGGTGCGTGATGTTGGTAATCTTTTTGTATACGTTGAGCAACTTGTTGCAAAGTTTTCTGACAGCGAAGACAAGGCAACACTCATGTATCAAGCAAATTCAATATTACTGGTGAGTGAGGAACCATCATTTAAAGTTCTATTCCTTTGTATAGAGATTAACATTATTGAGAATTAGACTGGATTTAGAGAAGCTTTTGAGTATAGGAAATCTACGAAAAAAGTTTATGGTTTAACGGAAACTGATGACACGGAAGCATGGTCATGTACCGTATTGTTTCAATGAGACAATTCATGATTTGATTGCATGTAATATTGACGTTGACTATCTAATTCTACATAGCAAAAGCTGAAATTGCCATAATATTGCGAAGGCAACTTGAGTCAACCGAGGCGCTCGTTTTGGATATAAGTGAGAGATTGAATCAATTGAACCAGAATCATGCAGATGATGCTTTTGAACAAGAATATGAGAAAATAAACACATTAAAAGACCAGATGGTGGATTTGGCAGATGTCTTTTTCGGTATCACGCTTGATCAGTTTAGTAGGTGAGATGCAAGCGACATTTCGATTATCACGATCAACGTCGTATGTCGATTACATATTTATCAAGTTGATTATACATGTAAATAGTCCAAACAACAAGGGCAAACTTCCTACGAGGGCATATCGTGACGGCTTTACGAGCATTCTGAAATTGCTAGGTGAGGATTGAATACGGCTGAATCGATTCTTTTATTAGACTGACCATAAAATTTACTCGTATTTATAGTTACTGTCGGCAAAGAAGATTCTGCACTACGACTCGCAGAAACGTACGAAGATTTCAGAACGCTAGTTGAGCTAAGTCTCTTATATGAGAAAGACACTAATGCTCATATAAACTCGTACATAAATAAATTTGGACAGAGATTCGCATACGTTTTATATGACTGTCTGCTTGAACAAGGTAACGTCGATTAATATTTCATGTATGAACATATACATGACATTTTTAAACAGTTGTTTTGTGATTTGGTGTAGGCAAGCTACAAGAACTACTGAATCGACCTCACGCTCAAGAGCACAAACAGCTCCTTCAGCAATATCTAAACGAGCGAAAACCAACACAAATTTCATGGCTACATGATATCTATTGTGAGGATTATAAGACTACAGCCGAAAAATTATATTATGATGCTTTGTCCGAGCAACAAGTTCATAAGACAAAGGTTGGTAATGTCTATGCGGCTTTGACCTAAAGTTTGAGGGTGGGCGTCTTGATCTTTTTGATTTCACTGTCGAATTACACTTATTCTATAGACTATGCTAAGTATTAGCAAGTTATCAATACTCGCGTCAATCGAGTCAAAAGTTGATTCCCGGGAGATTAGAAACCTATTGAGAGGTAATCATTATACTGATGACTAAATTTAACTAGACTATTTCATATTAACGTTCAATTGTTGGTCTGTTACCAGAGGTTGAGTGTCGTCTGGACTTTCTAAATTGTACTGCTCAGAACATTCAGAAAAACTTTACAGAATTGCTCTCTAAAGGAGGCATGGCGTCGGCCGATCTGAATGCCCAAATAGATGCCATAATGCGACATTACGCCAATGAGATTAGCGAAAGTAAACCTGCATTTGCCAAGGTAATATAACTATGTCAGCAGTAGTAGTTAAGTTATTGTCCTGTATTGACCTGATTATCTGATAGCTCTACATGAGTTTCATACCCAAAGTTTTGTGTGGCCAACTCCTATCAATAGAAGATTATGTCGATTGTTTGACATTGCAGGACAAGCAACATGAAGTTGATTTTGCAAGACTAATTAGGAATGTGGCTAAATTTGAAGAGGTTTGTTGAAGAACGCTGATTTTGATATTCCGAGTACTTTCTAATGCTTTATATGCAATCAGTTGCCGAAAGATCGTGCTCGCTCTACCGTACAATCTCTATGGAGAAGATTATATTTACATGACAGGTTAGATGACAATTTCAAAATTAAGAATGATGTAAAAAACAAGATGTCTTATTAACGTCGGCAACAGGTGGGAAGAGATATCGGACACGAACAAAATGTCGGATGAAGACATAGGCCAGACTCTGAGGCAGACCACTTTCTATCGGACTGTTAGCTTGTTGAAAGAGGAGGGTCTCAATGGTAAGTATATTTATTGGTACATTTGCAAATAAGTCTGCCGAACGACGTTCAAAAGTGAGCGCCCATGCATGACCGTCTTGTCAAGTTTGCCATATTTCATCGTCATGGCCAGCACTAACTTTGTCACCGTTATGTGTGCTCATTAAAAGAGTGGTTCTACTCTCCTAATGATGCATACTTTTCAAGTCCATTAGAAGAATTACAGAGGCGATTTTCTAATAGGACGGAGGAGGAATTGCACGAGCTTGTTGCCGACTACAAACAGGAAAACGAAGCACTGAAGAGATATATCGATGAGTTTAATTTACTAACTTATGTAAACGAAACGTTATGATAGTAATACGTTTTAATGTTATCATTTTTTTTGCAATAAACTTTTGAAAAGAAGTTCTAATCTGCCAAAATTCCTGCCAGACAAATAACAGGATGTGTTCATTTACATCAAAAACCGTTTGATCGGTAACTGTTTCAAATGATTTATTAATGAACGCTCAATCGGCATTTGATAGACTCAAAGATAGGTTATAAACTAGCACCAGTTCACCCACAATTCACCTAAAAGACTAGCTGCTTCTTTTTCTACTTGATACTAAACAGTATTACCTTTAATTGTTCGGGCTCGCCAGTGCGCAGAGCAAAACCCCATTCGTAATCAAAAGGATGTTACAATATTGAGGAAAAGTAAAATGATAATCGTTGCTATGTCAATGGCTACCTTATGATCTTTTCGCGGATTAAAAAGAACTAAAGGAGATGTCTGGGATATTCTAATGGATTACGCTGTGCGAAATTTACCGAATTCTATACACAATAATTATTCTAATTGCATTTTTCATTGGTTCAGTGCATCATAACAACTAAATAAAAACACTCGATTGAGTGTTCCGTTTACATACACAGATCAACTATTTCTTAAAACTGTTTCAGATCAAGGAACGCAGTAGCGTCCCATAGTGGTATCTATCGCAGTCCCGGCGATGAAGCATAAACCATAGCTGTAGATGCTTGTTGCAAGTGATGACGGAAAGGAAAAGGTCAAAGGACCCTTTTACGTTTAGGCATTTAAAATATTATGATCATGATGCAACTGCAAACCTCAAATCTGTATTTACAAGATTATTATTATCGGGGACAGTCAAATATGGTATTGTACATTAGCATGTGATAACTGAAATTAGTGTGCAATCTGATTCTTCTTATCAGTTCGTCACACAAATTTTCTCTTGTTACGCAAGACTTTTTCATTTTCTATCGGGGTGAGACAAAAATGGTAATTTCTGTTCCAATCTAAATTCTTAGCTGCGAGAAAGCTTTTCTCAAGAACTGTTTATTTATAATAAAAAAGCCGGCGTGAGTTATAGAGCTTTTGTGTGGCGATATAGGAATCCATTATTGGCAATACTATCGTCATCAAATGGAAAATTGTGACATATTAATATCTGATAAAGTAAGGTTATCAGATTGTCGTACTTAGATTAACCAATAATATTATTCGTCAATGGGTATTGCTTATAAATACAAAAAACGTCTTGCAAGTTCTATCAACTTCTCTTTTTTCACAACCAACGAGTTTACATGCTGCGACAAACTGTCTTAAAGAAAACCGGCTTGTTTGCTCATTCTTTCTCACGAGCAGCTCAGCAACCAACCAGGCTTGCACTTATAAGGTTCTATCATGAGAAGGTATGTGTCATTAAATGAACGTTTTGTCGGGCACTGGTACAATTACTGGTGTCAAGAATCTAAATGCAAGTTTCAATTTACTTAATATCAGGTAATCGACCACTATGAACGCCCCCGTAACGTGGGTTCGCTTTCGCGAAACGACCCAAACGTGGGTACCGGTCTTGTAGGAGCACCAGCTTGTGGTGATGTAATGAAATTACAGATAAAAGTAGATGAGGAAACTGGTAAAATTATTGACGTCAAATTTAAGACATTCGGTTGTGGTTCCGCCATCGCTTCATCCAGCTATATGACCGAAAGGGTCAAGGGAATGTCGATTGATGAGGCAAGCAATATAAAGAATACTGAAATTGCTAAAGAGTTGTGTTTGCCACCAGTCAAGTTACATTGTTCGAGTAAGTAGTCCATATGAATATGTCGCATTAAATGTAATTTCAACAAGGGTGATGATGTTAACAGTATGATTTCCACACACAACAGTGCTTGCCGAAGATGCCATCAAGTCAGCCATTAAGGATTATAAATCGAAAAGAACCTCACTAAATTAATTCAGCAGAATATATTATTGCACGTGCCAGCGTTCGTTGAATATCGATATTACAAGTCTAAATTTATTCATAGACGGTTTAGTAATCAGACCATATCTTCGTAGAGGAGGTTATTTTTCAAATTGTCTTTGGCGAATAAACATTCTCAAGGACAGTTTTCGAACATTTGTACATAACGTAGTTGTAGTTGCTAATAATGTCTTTGCAGGAAGTTAATAGTCAACAGGTTACAAAAAAAAGATAGAATAAATAGTACATGAAACTATATTGTTGGTTGATGTAACAAACATGGCACTAGTCACATTCCTGATTCTATATAGTCTCTACCTATCCATTCCAACAATGCACATCAATTTTTGCTGCTCGTTCTCAGTAATCTGGGTACTCTCGCCTATAAATCAATGAAGTTAACGACAATTTCACGCAGCCGCACCCATAAATGACCAAATATTATTACCTTAGTCTCTTATTCGGCAGATATCTTTCAAACTCTTTGCTCCAGTTGACAAAAAACCTCCCAATGGCATCAAAATTCATCGGCTGATTTCCTTCCAGAAACCCCTCATTTTGTTCGCGCCAAACATCTCGATCGCAATCCAGATCAAACCGCTTACGGTCGATATCTTCCCATATCTCGGGTGGGATTGGTTTCGGCTCAAACATAGGTTGAATGTTCTCCTCTGCCACGTATCGGGGAGAGCCATCATCGCATAAACAGTTGTAAAACGGTTGATAACGACCTCTCTCAAGATCATCCACATGCTAAAGAGAGGGTGGAGTAGGGGGGGAGAGACGAGAGAGCAGTGAATGTGAAGCACTTGAAGAGAATGAGAAAATAGGAAATTAAGTAATGTGAATGTGAATGGGAATGGGAATTGGAGTATCGAGTAGACAGATGATTAAATTGATGATGAGTTGATAACTATTGCAAATGAATGTCAACAGGCGGTCCAATTTACCATTCGTAGAATCCAATCCTCCTCCGCAACGCATTCTGGAATTGTATTGTGTCAAAAGCTTAAGACATAAAGGGGGGGGGGGGGGTCTTTGTAGAACGACAAAACACACGTTGATCACATTAAATACCTTCATCATAGCCATATATGACACCTGTATATTGAAACCTTTTGTGGAAAAACACCATTCCAATCTCAAATTTTGGTCCTCCTTTCCCATCCCCTATATCCTCTTCACCTTCGCCGACATTATGCCGTTTCCTCCTCATAACCCTATCACTGCCCTTGTCATACTCTTCTCTAATTTCCTGCAAATCATTTCTCAACAGTTCCGGTCTATGAAAGCCTACGAAATTTAGACTTGCAGCAACAACAGCATCTTCTGGCCACATATGTTTTAGTAATTCCAACCAAAGACTATAGATCTCTACAGGTTCGTGCGGATGTATCACAAGTAGTTGGAATAACGCAGAGTATAACACTTCATGATCAGTTTGTGTTCTACGAAAACCATTAATGATGTTGTGTAATACTCGCGCGTACACTTCGAGAGGATACGGAGGTCGGAGGTCAAAGTCATTAAACAAGTGTCCAAAAGACATGCTCAGCATTTGTGAGACTTCTGTACGTGACATTATTTTTCCGTTGTTAAATAGATCGATGAAAAAGTCGGTATCGGTAGTCGGGGATGTAAAGTGTAGCAGATAATGATGTGGTGTTGGAAAGAGTGATACTCCATTGATATTTACTCTCATACATAATTCGTGAAATATTATCGCCAACGAAATGGGAATCCCTTTTCTTGTTTCGAATATTCTGTCTATTAGACTATTTGATGGATTGTAGTATCGTTCGACATTACCGCGAAAACCCTTTTGTCTGCAGAAAAAGTCGACTAACGCTTTACATTTATCTTCATCCGAGAGAGTTTCATTATTAGGAGATATTTGCTGAATAAACTCGGATGCAAGAGCATTGAATTTGATGTCGATGTCTTCCAATTCTATAGATGGGCTACGGAACATGGCCAACATCGCGAATCCTTTCCAAATAGGAAAGTCTATTGTCCCTTGCTTCAATGCATCCCATTGAGCGAGTATGTATCGCTTACGCACTAGCTGTAAACATCTTTTCGCGTAAAACTTTAATGAATGGTCCCACTAGCAGAACATTCAAATGAAAAATTTAATTATAGTGTTAATAATGTGTCAAAATACGTGATAGTTAATACCGCATTCCCTTATAAATTACTGAATTTTACCAAATTACTTTTGACAATGAGCGTCAAAATATCGATACAATCCAATTCGAATGTCGATATTTCAGCCATGAGACGTAAATGCCCACTCGATTGTTCGAGTAAATTTTGTAAAAGATCGAGCACATTGCGATCAGTACGATGGCGAGTGCTGTAAATGTCTTTCCACCCAAAGTATTCTGGAGGCGGCCTATTCTTCCAATGCAGCCATCTGAGAAAAAAAGAAAGAATATCGAATAAGCAGAAAAATAATTGGTGGGTCCAAGACGTGTATCTGCGCATGTTGACTGCTCTCACCTCTGGGTGCATAACTTCATCCAGAATGTGGGCTCTGATGCGAGTCTGCTGAAATCTTTTGAAACGCAACCGCATCGTGCCAAGGACTTTGCTTTATTGAAGAATTCACAATGAAATCAATGAGAACGATGGTAGCAGAGTGATGAATGACAATAGCATGACAATGGTGATAACAGTAACGAGTACTGCTAACAATAGATATCGATATCATCATAGACATAGACATCGACATCGACACTGACGTTCAATGCTGCCGATACAGGTGCTTTAACCGGGGTGCCGACGTTCAACTCGATTAAAGAGCCACGGTACAATTCAAATATTGTTTGTTTTTTGGCTCTTCTTCTCATTCAACGCCGTTATTTTTGCGGGCATGTTCCCATTCCTTATAATCCTATTATTTCATCCTCGCAGGTTTCGTTTTCAATTACCTGGTAAGTACTGAAATATCTCTAATATACAGTCTTCAGGTAGTCTTGGTATACGTCTCTGAGAGCTATTATCATTATATCTGTCGCTATTCAGGTTTTCTGTCATAACCAACGACAGGTAGTTGGGTGTGTATATATTACAATACAAGGCCTGGAACGATCAAATAAGTGATAAAATGGGATCGTCGAATATTTAATGCCAATCTGTACGATGCATAACAAACGCCATCGATAATGACTTTGGGATGGTGAACTCACTTGATATAGCGAGTGATTATTATTTTTAATCCCGGATCAACGGAGGATCTGGGATATTGCATTTTTTTGATTTTTAGTATTAGGGGCGCAAAGTCGAGATTAAGCTTAGATGACGTCATCCAGTGGGAAGATGATTAATACTTGTATTTATGTTGTTATTGTTATTGTAATTATAATAGCAAACAACAATGATGATATAACAATGATACATGGAATTCTGGGTATTTTTGAACATGGAGTAAAGGTTTTTTGTTGAATTTATTGTTTGACGTTTCAAATTGCCAAATTTCTTCATCGTACAGTTTTTGTCACCTCATTTCTTTATTCAGCCATCATCCCGCTTCACCCGCATATCGTTGTTTCAGAGAGGGAACAAGTTTAAACAGCAACAATATTAATTAACCACAAAAAAGTCAATACACCAAGGTCATGTGATGTATGGCTGTTGTGATAACAAAAAAAATTCAAGGAGCACAAGAAGATGTTTATCCAACCAAAGAAATCCATACATATGCACTCACGGTCTAATGCTATTTGTTCCCCTCCCCTGCGTCGAAAACGGATAAATTAATTACAGTAAACATGCCCATTAAAGAAGTCTTTTTTTTTTTTTTTTGATAAATTCGACAAACAAATTTACCTTTCCCACGGGCAGAAAGAAAAAAGAGGGTGCAGACGGAAGTCATTTGTTCGATTAATAATAGTTGGGTCGTTAGTATTAGCGTTAGAAACTAAATACATCCCAGCCCCTGTTTGTTCACCCCACTCACTCCATTGTTGTATTACAAGGAATCGCCAACATGCATAATGTCCACGTGTATTACCATCAAAAGAAACCCCATTTCGACCAAGCCCAACCTGCTATACTCGCACAAGACTTACCATCTCGCATAATGTAAACCACTAAATACCCTAGAAGTACAATTGCTGGTGGGACAAAAATTGTTATTCGGCGTTCTGATGACAAATGCGGGAAACTTTACAGATAATATGAGTCAGAATTTGAGTTTAAATACAAAACAGGGGGTACACTCATACATATATAACCAGTGAGAAAAATTTTTTTGCCATCTGGGTTCCTTCATCCTGAACTGAAAAAAAAATTTTCTCCAAAGAAAAAAAAAATTTTTTTCCAGGTTTCTTATTCCTGTTCGCTCAACCACAAAAACGACAAGAACTACCACATATTCTAATACTCGTACTAGTATGGCTGTAAAATTATTTGTTGGTGGCCTACCGTGGTCTACAAATGATAGCGATCTCCGTATCAAATTTGAAGAATACGGTCAAGTAGAAGACGCCGTAGTTATTCGCGACCGTGAGACTGGTATGACACTAGGATATATACTGGGATAATTGTTTTAATAACGGCTGCTTCGTGTTGAACGGAACTATCAATATACTCGTATCATCACAGCAAGAATAACTTTCAGTTATATCTTGTATATATATGTACTCTCCTGCCCGCTCCATCGAGACGCAACTCGTCGTCCTTTCTCTCTAGTGTCTTTTCTTTTCGTTTTTAGCAACACAAATTTCGTGAGAATTCCAAAAAACGTGTGTTTTGAGGAAATAGTCTCACAAGCGAAACGTCGCTGTTGCTGAGACTCTCTTATTACTTCCTCCTCTTTCCTTCAATCGTTTACCCATACTCTGTGTCTCGTTTGTGTGTGCGCGCGATGACTATTGTTTCATCAACAGGATGATGTTGCTATTGTGATGTGACGTGTATTATAAGATAATATGGGAGAAAGATGTGTGCGCGTGTTGATATTGAACAAAAAAATGTACCGTTTTGCTCTTACAATTAATATGTTCGTTCGGTGTGTGTTATTTGATGGTACGGTGCTTTGACGTATGAAGGTCGTAGTCGAGGATTCGGATTTGTTACTTACTCAACGTGAGTATTAAGCTTTTGATATAACATCGGTTATGAATGATGATGGCGTATGCTTATTAACTTTTTCTTTTTTTTACAATTTATCTAGTAATGAAGAGGCTGAAAATGCCATTAGCAATATGAATGATCAAGACTTTAATGGTCGAACAATCAAGGGTATGCTTCTGCGATATCTCTGTGATATATGACGTTCAGATGATTGTATAGCGCACAACAATACTTACAATCATTTCGCCCCATACGTTCTTTTTGCAGTTGACCGTGCTTCTGAGCGAATGAATTCGGCTCCACGCTCTGGCGGCGGTGGTGGCTTTGGCGGTGGCGGCTTTGGCGGCGGCGGCGGTGGTGGTCGCGGCGGCGGTCGTCGTAATGGCGGCGGTAACGGCGGTTATGGTGGACGCAACGGTGGCGGTTACGGTGGTGGCGGTGGAGGTTATGGTGGCCGTAATAATTATTAGGATCGCTTCCACCAAGAAAAAGAAAAGTCTACGAGCCCATTCAGCTGTTGTAGTGATCATGACTCTCCCTTGCTTTTGCTCTTGCTGTCGTCCTAGTCTTACAATATTTTAGCACAATATTATTTTTTATTCTCCCTTTTCCCTTGCCTTATTCACTCCCCTTTATGTCTTTACTATTTCTTCGAGTGTCCGTCTTGTAGTGCCTACTATTAACTTCGGTTGGTTGTCTGGTGCTCCTTTCGATTGTTCAAAGTTATGCGGTTGAAGCGTGTTCTTGTGGCCTGGATCGTGTAGAGTGTTTCTTAATTATGTCATTAAGAACCCTTCTTTTTTAAATGGCTTGTTTCCTTAGACATCGCACTAGGTTATCCACATAGTTCTTCTGATTAGCATATATAATTTGTTCGCTTGCATAGTTTCTGCTTCACATGCTTTGTATAATTTCAATTGGTGCCTAAATTTATTTGTTCTTATACAACCTGTATATAGACGTTCACTTTTTATATTAAAATTTTATCTACTTTCAAAATATGCGCTGTTTGACTTTATTGATAAATTATTGACTGCGTTGCTTTTTCTAATAATGGCGTGTATGTGTATAAAATATATGCATATTTGCTAAAATAACAGATTCGGTTGTCACTGAAACAGGATCAGGTATTGTAATCTTCAACGTAGTTTGCTGGAAAGTGTCCACGCTTTCCGTTTATTATTCCTAAGAAGAAAAAAGGGTCATATAAGTAAAAGAAGCAAAAGATGACGTTGAAACACTTTATAAAGACCCAACCTTCAAACCACCCCTCTCCCGCATCTCTATTAATCACTTCGATAATGTCATTTTCACTGAAAGATATTTCATCGGCTGATTGAGCAACCCAATCATAGATGGCTCGAACTATAAAAATACATCGAGCATAGTTAGACAAGCAGTACTGCACGAAGTATGTCAATGAGAAGGATACACTCACCAAAGTCACCAACTGCAGTTATGGTTGTTTCAGTCTCGTCTACTATATGAGATGCTGGTACCGAATCCTCCACGTCCATGTCTATATAGCTTGCTGGTACTAGACCTTCCCTCCCATTTATTGAAGCCTGTTTCCTCATGGAATGTTAACAAATCGCATAACGGATACATACAGATGGGGTCGCCTACACCTAACCTTACCATTATCCAACCAGAATCATCTACCAAGAGGATAAACGTTATTATAAGGATATGTCTCTACAGAACATAATAATAATAATAATAAAATAAACTACTAACCAAGCGTATATAAAACTGTTAAAACATCTCCTTTCGATACGTCCAACTCGTCTGCATTTCTTGCTGTATAATTGTACAAGACTGCTGCCCTATGAGTTTGTTCTTCAATGGCTGGAGCAGACGACGGTCCAGTATCGTCTTTTCAGACCATGTCAGTAAACAGTCGTTTTTGAAATATGCCGACTTTTAAAAGCACTTATTGACCGATTACCTGATACTGTGCCATACGAAGAGGTTGTACCAACGAAGCTCATGCTTGCGTTTAATCCCCCCCTTCTTATGTTGCCCAGCTCCTTTGTGCAGTTTAAGGGCACCTTCATCTCGCACTTTGCATGACAATTGTATCCACAGTCTGTTGTTCCATACAAAAGTCATCAATATGCATTCGATAATTCAGACCATAGTACGCGCATACCCACTTTTACACGCAAGTCCTTGCTTCAACCCCCAGACGTTCATTGCGCACAAGTCACATTTCGCGGGTATTGTGAAAGCTGCGGTCTTGAACTCGTGCGGTATTTGATCAGATCCAACGTCTAATGAATTAGATGATTAGAATTGAAAAAAGAGAGGGGGTCATCGCAAATATCAATCGTTGAAACCTTTGATTTGCTTTTACCTCCGATTGCTTCGATGATTGCATTTATTTCTGTTTCATAATTTGTTTGCATTGTCCTTAGAACAGTCACTTCGCGCATATATTCCAACAAGTTCTGTTCTCAAATGAGATGCACGTATTTGAGTGTCTTGTAAGTTACTCGAACATAGTAAAGATAATTAAACGCGTTTACTTTCTCACTTCTATCACAGTATCTGCGTCACCGAGATTTGCGTTGTTCGAGTATGCCTCTTGTAGCGATTGCATGCCTTCGATGTCTCTCTCTTTAATCTCGATGGTAGCATTGACAGACGCCAGTTGTTTCCGCACCCTGACGAGCTTGTTGCTCAAATATACTTGTGATACATCATCCACTTGCAAATCTTCCTATTCAACGAATGTCAGTTGTTAAGCTACTGTCCGCACGTCTTGGTTTTCTAGTTAAATCTACTACATACATTGTCATCTGTATTATGATATGCTTCAAATTCAAAGTCAGGTGGTTCTTGCCACTCTCTTTTGTTGAATTTGATAAACAATTCCGAGTCTGCGGTCTCGTCGACTTCTTCTAATGCTTGTTTTATGATCTCTAGATGTTGTTCCGAATTCGACAATGCAGATAATTCAAAATCCACGTATTCATCCCAGATATATTTTACTGCCCGTACTCTATTCTCGTTAAGCTCTTGCATATGCTATTGATGGACAAGATGGTCAATTGCTTTCACAGCAGAATACCGCACAAACTAGTGCAATAAAAAGAAAACTCACGTCCAATATTGCCGGTAGATCAATAAGACTATATTTTTTCTTTTGTGCATTGGCAACACGTAAAGCCAACAGATAAAGATTCTGAGTTGTTTTACAAACATGCGACATCAGTTACGAGATAGCTGAAAGAAATTCTAGCAGGAAAAACATCTCGGTCCCACCTTGCTGATGTTCCTTTCGATTATATCTTGCTGGTGCTCTTTCCGTAACTACTCGTCAAAGAAACACGATCAATGTTTTTGTTTCAGTTCAACATCGTAGTGTATATAAAGACGTACTTTCTCCAATGTCTTCTCATCTTGTGCTTTATCGAGTTTTTGTTGTGCTTGCAGAACTTCTGCACACTTTTCATCATAGTTGGACTTTGCCTTTATAAAAAAAGTGTTAAACCACCATTTTACAGCACTGAGCATGCACAAGTATTAGTGCTGTTGTAACCTTTTGCTTCTCGGCATAAATTTTGTCCCGGTCCGATCCAAGTTTAGCAGCGAATGTAAAATGCTAAATCAGAGGAGGATTAGACATCGTTCAGTTGATAGAGCAATCATTACATCTCGTTACCGTTTACAAACTCGTATGAATTGTCTTACCTTTTTCCGTGCCTCTTCTTGTTTCAAAGCGAGCGATTTGATCTCATCAAAAATAATCGTCGAAAGGTTCTCTGAGAATTCCGCTCGATCTTTTGCCATGTTCTCAGTCTCTTGTAATATTACAGCCCATGCCTTGACAAATGTGCTAATCAAAAGTCCAAGAATGCTGATACATAAAAAGGTCTACTTGAGCGAGAATCTATGTTGTTATATAAATTTTACCAACCTAGATTCTGTAGAAGCATCGTATTCCGGATCCCTTGGCGAACCTGTAGCATCACCCACGGACAGACCAATAATTCTTCTGTCTTTTCTCACTGTATATTTTTTTGCAAAGGCTTCAAGTTTACTAGCATACTCTTTTTCTATTGCTGCTCTTTCTTTGATAAAATCGCGGAATTCACCGAGGAATTGAATGCCATTTTGTACAAATTGATTCACTATGGGTATTTGATCCTAGAATTGAAAATAAAATGTATTGAAACAAATTAATTATTACGACTATGCGGCGTTCTATGGACAAAGAATGACCCAATGCTACATAGAGTGTTTAGTTTTTCCAACCAAAAGGCAGTGTAAAATAGATCTTTTGGTTTATATGAGCGCTATAAGACTGAAGAGAACTCACGCGATACCTTGAGTTCAGTTCCAAAACTCATTTTTATTCTCTTGGTAGTTGTAATGCAGCCTCAAATACGGTAATTGAATTCTGAGAAGGGTGATTTATGAAAGGGAGTTAAATACTGTTTACCCCCCATATTAATATGGTAACATGACATCAAGTAGGGAGTATGTCATTGAATTTTACCAAATTAATTCCGCTTCCGGAAGATTTATCCGCCAGGGCGACATTTAATGCTGTTGTTAAAATCACACTGATATTCGGGTTATATTTTTTGCGTGATAACATTAAAAATGATGACGAATTAAACATAATCAAGCGTCTACCACATTAGTCGATTGTTCATTGTTGCATATACATGTATATTTTTTCTTCTTTAATATTAATTCGTAAGTAATTTTCAGTAGCTGATCTTTCTTGACATTCGTTTGCCGTCGTGCAGCACTTATCGTTTACACATATGTGTACATGTCAAGCTACGCCAACTCATTAAACGGCACGCATCAGATACCAGCTTGTTATAATATTGTTCGTAAATAACTAGAAAGAGTCATCTTGAAAATATGGCCCGCCTCACAATATACATAATAAATATTTTTGTCTCGGTCACACTTTCGCCCAGTTACTTCACGATAAATCTATTAAAAATGGGATCACCAAGCGCGACATCGCATTCAATTATCAGTAAACCAATGGTTTATTCCACACGCTCTTTTGTTTAACGATTTAATTATAATTTTAATTTATTGTAAAAATAGCAATAAAATAATAGTCTTAGTCACGGGATTGTATAATATTCAACAGTTGTCCAATCAAAATCTCACCAGATCCATCACGCTCTTGTTTTGATGTCTCCATGGATCGAAGGTCTATCGGCACTGATCAGATACAATATACTCGATTAGTAATAGATCTCGAAAATGCTTTTAGATCGCGGGCTATTAAAGACCAACTTCGTGCCATATTGAGGGTTCCTCGCTTGTTAGACGAGCAACCGTTTCCAGAATTTGTTAGCAGCGCTTTTGTCAGACTTGCCGAATTTTTCGCAAAGCTGGACGATAGATCATTCCAGCGTAGAATGTTTGCTAGTTCGCAGACTGAAACAAAAGATTTACAGAAAGCTGGCTATCAGTGGGAACAGTTAATCTTTAATTACAATGTCACTCGTTATTTCATTTACAAAGTGTTCAAACAAAGCGACAAGCATCTTGTAAAGAATATTAATGTCGATAAAATAGTTATGACAATATTCATTATACTCGGAAATCAAAGCAATGACCCCATTGCGCGTTCTTTGACGCTCAGGTGAGCGATTGATAATTGATTACATTATGTTTGTGATTTGTCGGTTAAGATTGCACCATTTTCTATTAGAACGCTTGGTTGCCTTTCTCCTTTATTGACGGAACGTCTCAATGTGCAACATGGGTAAGAGTTCTAAGACCAGTTGTCTGTTGTTTCTTAAGTGAATTTATTGAAAAGTATGTAAAAAACTCATATAGCATAATACAACGATTGGATTCACACGTGTTAATCGAGGCGAACGCAGCTATATATGCGGCAGATAATATTTGCTCCAGATCAGAGACGTTCTCAACGATACTGTGTGAGAAACTAGCTAACATGGTTAGAGGTTAGTGGCTTCTCGCGTTGATTCGTGTGTCTGTGGTACTTTTGATGACAAGGAATTATTATTTGTCAGCGGATCACGTATCTCCCACTATAAAATTGAAACTCATTCGAGTATTCAGACACATGCATTGGAATCTTGATCTTGCTCATAAGGTTAGATGAACTTATGTCTTTGTATTAATGATTCATCAGACATAACTGACATATTTGTCCTTTATTCAGACGCGTGCGATATGTATCGATCTGCTGGAAGACTACATGTCAGAGGACTTCGTTTTGACAATCCTACAAACATTGACGTGCTTATCTAGCAAAGCACTTATTAACGTTACTTCACAGGTGTTGATTATTTTTTTGTACGAACTTTATTATGGTTGAACAGGTTTTTAATGATATTTTTGTAACAGGTCGAATTATTGTTCGAGTATGTACTCAATGATTCGAGAGAAAAAGTTATATCAAGAGGGCTTACAGATCTAACCATGCTGGCTCGTAAAGATGTGACATTTCATACGACACATGCATTAGTAAGTGAAATTACAAATTAGCTTCAGCTAGGCAAATAATGTATTAATTATTTGATCATGGCGATTACAGAAACTGCTGGATATAATCAATACCACGGTTGAATCAACTATCAGGGTTAAAGCCTTACAAGTTTTAACAATTCTGTTTCAACGAATGCCATTGTTATCTCGCATCATGTCGACTATTTTTTCCGAGACACGAAGACAAGCATTAAAACACTTTAACAAATGTGCGAAACTCCTCACTGAATCTGAGCATGAAGTGGCTCTTGCTGTATTGAGGATGTTTGTAGTTGTGGTTACTGAGGTTGATCGAATAAAGTCGATTTCTGGCTCGTCTATCTCTCCTGAATGGGGTATGTACATTAAACGTGGCAGTCTATATTCTCAAAATATTACTTACGGATGCATGCAAATTTTAACATATTGTATATGTGTTTATATCTTATTGTATATTAGATGCGTATTTTGAGAATTTGGATTTACATTTGGCCAAGGAGATATTGACTGTAATATTGAATTTAATGGATTATAATATTATGGACAAGGATAAACATGCAAAGGTACCAAATGATTGTTATTAATGCCGATACTCGTGACGCAGCGTAAATTGAACTAAGTTGCACTGCCTATGAAGGCTACACAATATCTTCGATGTCTTCTATCCGTATGCTCACTTAGAGCCAGAATAGTTGATAGCATAGAAAGAGATTTATTGAATCTTATAAAAGTTGATGGTATGAATGAATTGAGTTAGCAAATTGAACGTTAGATTAGAATCATGTCTTCATCGCTTTCCTTTTTTAGGTGAATGTGCTAACATATTGGCGAAGTTTCTTCTCATTCTTTCGGAAGATGGCATTTTAAATTCGCAATTATTACCAGAATTATTGACGTTATTGGAATCAGATGAATTCATAGAGAAGCCGCACTTGTTTGTAAGCCTTATAATAGCTATTTATCATGATTGCCGTTGTGGAGATTGGCTAATTCGCATACCTTAACTTCAAGGCGACACTTATGCGCACAGTATTAAGATCGGCATCGAATGTTACGATGTTGAAAAATGAACGAGCGGCTATAGTAAACGATGTCAAAGTGATCTTGGACAAGTTTGGTTCCTGGTCAGGTTGGAATTATCACCGGAATCAATGGTATCTGTATACTATTGGCAGAGAGGCTGGAAGAAGGGGGTATCACGAAATTATGAAGATTGTGATGAAATCTCTCAGTTCTCAGGTATGCAGTAGGAGAAACGTGCTGTCTGTTATGAATGTTTTTTTTATAACTAATAGTATGTATTTCAGGTTGAATCAGAACGTTCTCGGTTCTGGTTGGAAGCTCTAGCGAGCGTAGCAGAAGCAGAAACAAATATATTAGTTACCATTAACGGAGAAACGTTGGATCTGGGTTGTTTGTCTCATGCAGTCAACTTGTATACCGGGGTTTGCTACAAATTAGGTGTATGCTATCGTCAGATGAGTTTCGAATGTTGCTAGATGCAAGTGTTATTACTTTCTTTTACATTTATTATTATCTGCTAGGCGATGGCTGCAAGTGCGAAAACCTTTCACAATAGGCGATTTCAGGAATGGTTTGTCCAATTGCGGTCGGAGTTTGTTCAAATTATACAAAGAACCCTACTGCTTTTAAACCATCCCTCATTTCCGGCCTGGTCGCAACAGAGTAGAACTCATATGGTACGTTGATTATCTATATGTTGATAATACGTCGTACTGATAAGAGCTGATTTCATCTGTTGATTACAAACATTCTATAGTTTATTTCTATTGACAACTGCTTGTCTGACTTGGCGTGTCGATTCGACTTTTGTGCCCATTCTTTCCTTGACATCGAGGAAGAAAGCTTGTCAGTACTGGAGTCATATCCTCTAAGACGACTTGCAGCTGAAATCACAATTTTCAATCTTCGTTTGGGTAACTAACATCCTATCCTTAACATTTGTAACATTTCAAATATGCTGTTTAGTCCTATCTTATGTTATCAAGACGATTTTTATTAACTGGAGCGAAAGGTAAAACGAATACCTCAATAATGTTAAAAGACGTTCAGTACTCATTATAAATTCTTTTTGTAGAGACACTATCAGTGGCTTGGATCCTTTACTTTTACCGTTGATACGTTACGCGACTGCTGACCCTAATAATAATAATAATAATAACATGAAATACAAAATCGAGTTTCAAAAAGGAAAATCGAAAAGGTTTCATTCGCGGCTGATAACAAGTTGTATACAAATTATTCAGATGATTATGAACTGGGTTAGGATAGGCAACACAGCTGTAAGCGTCCGATCTGATACTTAGCTTTGTCAATAGTGTGAAGATGTTTTTAGTAATCAGTTGACCGTAATATTCTCGCTCCACATTTTCTTTAGGACGTGATCGCGCCAGTCAGAGAAGCTATCCGAGACATAATACAAATTCCATTAACGTTGCCGCCTTTCTTTTTCTCAAGTTATAACCATACCCATATACAGGTTAGTTTTTTGGTCGTCTACTGTTCAGTTAAATGTACATAGTAATTTAAGTGTATTCAAATCTTTGTTCTGGTATTAGTGGACTACTGCACCCGAGTGGAAGATTGGCATCAACAACTTCTCCATGTATGAACCAAAAAGAGTCTCAAATAACGAAAAATTGATTTTACGAATAGACGGCATAATACATCCTGGACAGTATCCCAGTAAGTTTTGATACTGAATGAAAATATAACCTTAATTAAAACTGTCACTTCTGCGTTGCATACAAACAATCGTGACGCTTATTCTTATTATTGAATAGCTCAAAGGTCCATCAAGCAAGTCCAAGTCACTGTATTTGGATCACGCATGAATTATGAACATTTATTCATTAAGACATCACTTGAAACCGCGATGAAATTCTCATCGGCTGCAGCAAAACATGCTATGATAAATATTAATAATGAGGTAAGCCGTCTATCGTATACAACCCACAAATGATTTTTATCATTTCTTCACGCTAACTAACCTACTTCGTTCCTCTTCCTCCTGAGTAGCGGCAACTAGAAGTCTGTCAGCCCACCATTTGCACTGTACCCAACAACAATAATTTCTTCACGTGCACGGCCTTAATTACATTCTTACGTGGTAAAATGGTCAGCGATGAGATGGGTTTTCTAAATGTCCATACAGTCGTCATTGACGATAACAACGTTCCATGGCATATTGGCCCAGATTTATCACTTCCGATCAAGCTTTACTTTTGAAATTTAATATGAATAAGTAAAGTTAGTCGTTACTATCGTATCCCACATAGGTTCAAGTCCCAAAGTCAGGCCAAAACCTGACCCTGGCGTCAGTTCCCTTTGCAATCGTTCGACCCTCTCACGTCCCGGTCCATCTCCACCTCGCACGAATCATATTTGAAACGTTTTTGATCATTTTTTACGAATCCACAATTTCCACACGTCTTTGATGTATACTCTTCCGTGCATTCAATGACCCTTGCAACCCCTGAACTCTCTCGACTTGTGATGTGAGAACATCCGAAACTTGAAATGCGACCAAGTCAGTATTGCACGAGCTGTCTTCGATCGAATCTTTCGCTTGTTCGTCAACCATCCTCGAATATTCGAACTTGGGTAAAAGAATGATCTCGTAATTCTGACATAACCAATGGGCCAGTGATGATGGCACTCATTGATCAAATTATGGATTCGTTGTACGATTCGTATCATCTTTTTCCTCTTTTTCTTATTTGTGCAAGATCTTGTCAGTCTGTAATTTGTCGTATTTCTTGGATAATTTGAATATTTTATCAACACATCGTTACCCCATTCAATTAATTGACCGTCAGGATCGTAACCGGTTATAAACGTGTGAACACATCGGGTGTCGGGTTACTTCCTGATTATGTTAAAGCCGTGTTTCGTTTCTCGAGAATAGTTAATTATCTACGCGGACGACGAAATACTATATCCTCCGAGCCAAAAAGCCGATCAATGCTGGCGTCGCATATTTGATCAGCCTTTCAATATGTGTTCATTAATTCTCTTTATATTTAATTGCTGAAACTAATTCTCCTAAAATATTCAATAGCTTGCTATGAACTTCGCGGTTTTCTTTTATCATTTGTTCATGCAATTCCTTAATAATGTCTAAAGTTGCTGAATGACTTCTCTCCCTTTCTTTTTTCTTTCTATTGTCAGAGTTATAAACTGGGCATACAGACCTTTCCCCATCCTTTTTATTTCGATAGCGACACTCACGACAATTTGGTACATAATGTTCGTGAGCCTGAGATCACCTTCCCCGAACATCATCTTGGTTATCAACGGTATCCAAAGGAACGCAAATCTGCAAGTAAAAATGTCCCGGGCGATTCACAGTTATGTTAACCGTATTATTGATAACAGGCAATCGCTCTGAGGTGATAATATTCTTTAGGAACGCGTTTTCCCTTTGTTCCTATTCCAATCCCCTCGTAACAATCGAAATGGTTTGTGTTCAATCCTTTTTCGATCGATATTTTGCCATTTTTGGTTTGAGAGGATATGGATGTGACTTGGAGAAAAGGTCGTAAGGCGCTGTGACGCGTTAAGATTCTCTTCATCGCCGAACACTTCATCTAACTTTCTTAAACGAAAATTCAAGTAGTGTTTTAATTGCCAGTACTTAGCTTCCATTCTCTTAAAATATTCATGAATATTTTCACTCCAGCGTCACAAATCCTATAATCAAAAAACCGTGGTTTTCGCAAATCTTTATTAACCCATCGTCTAACTATTCATTCGAAAATTATTTTCCTGTTTTTTTGTAGAAACGTACTTCTCTTTACCCAGAGGAGTGCTTCAGTTGTGAAGTACTTTTCATTTAGGTAGTGCACTATACACAGTGAAACTCGATATAACGGATATTATGGTTCCGACCCCTTTTTTCCGTTATATCGAGAGATCCGCTATATCGAGTTTTTCACGAGATAACGGATTTCATAATAAACTACGCAGTACAGTCGACTCTCTTTATAACGACCTTCTTTATAACGATTCGCGCTTTATAACGACCGCTGTGCTCTGCCCGTTTTCAAAA